TTATTTAGTATTTTGAAATATAATACATCGCTTCTCATAATGATCTAACATCACGAAGAAGATCTTAAAATGTGATCTAGAGCAAAGGTTTTACACATAGTTTACATAGAAATCCTGACTCAAGCTAAGTACACTATATTCGCAAATGATCTGACGAGCTAGTCAACTTTATACAGTCGTAATAGGCCATAATATCACGAAGTCGCTTATTTCTCATTGAAATTGCAACGCTCATTCATTGTATGCAAATACGGCGGCTGGCCCATATTTGTAAGCTCAATGCGAAATCATTAATACAACATTTAAAGAAGAAACTAGTACAAGGTCATGCACAATAAAACTCGGTGTGGGATGAGAAACATTTGGTTATGTTTCGTCAATCGGCACGAGTTACCCACGACAAAGATAACTTCACAACATTGTTTATCGTTTCATAATTAAAAGCACTATTATTTGCATAATTAGGGACTGAAGATCTGAATATTAGGAAATGTTTTAACGAGGTAAAATATGGCAAATTAACCAAATTAATGTCAATAAAGCAAAATGGGGATAAGCAGAGGTAGAGCAAAAAATAGAGTAACCTATTGCTACCTTGTTACTTTCATTATAATAAATATGCGAGACAAATGTACTCCTAACTTAAAAATTTCTCAATAATATTTGCAATAAACTAACTGGTTACTTTTAATAACTTTCTTATTTTTGATCGGAAGATGACGAATTAAAGAAGATGGAGGATTTAATAGCATCAGTTAGAGATTACTATTACAATAATGGTAGCCAACAATACTCACAATAAAATTAACATTATTGAATGTTCCCTCGTTAACTCTTCTCTCCGTTCATTAGGCTTTTTGGGATCCAAGCAACGTCTCTCATTTATTTTTACCCAATTTGCGTAAACACATGGACCTACGTTTTTTTTACTTGGGAGGGAATGTCAAGTATGCTTCATAAAACCTTGGTGACCTCAGTAGAGTCAGACAGTGTTTCCTGCCAGCCCTCGCCTCGAAATAAAGAGCAGTTTCTGCTGCACGTGCAATATTGTAATACTTTTGCATGACTGGGCCGTCCTATAACATTAAGTATTCAAAATCAAAAATGTATTTATTCAAATAGACGCTTGCGCGCTCTTATGAATCGTCTAATTTTACATCAAAAATTATGTATATGTTTTTGGTTCGTAAGGTACCACCGGTTCGGAAAGCAGTTTCTGTTGAGAAGAGACCGGCAAGAAACTCAACAGTTGCTCTTTTTCTAAAACATCAGTTTACAATATAATATACAGGTATAATAGTCTTATTCTAGCCTACGTGAGTATCAACAGTATTAACTCCACACATTGGCGTCGTCGAGATATTCCGCAATGGTATAATATGATTTAACCATAAGTTGACTTTTAATTTTACACTTAAATTGGTCAAGCGGCAGACTTAATATCGACTGTGAGGTATATCCTATTGAGGTATTATCTATCATGTTTACTATGGGGAGGGTTCTATGTATATTGTTTAAATTGAATAATGCCTGCTTAATTTTAATACCGCACAACACAATGAGTCACTAAATATTACCCATATTGTTCTTAGCAGCCAACCAGTACGCAATTTTCACGGATTTTGAGCATTGGCGTGACCAGAGAATTGGAGGCTTGTCGCCAATGTTTAAAGCAGTTGACTAAAACACGTAAACTAGCGGTTGATACACCCATCTGAAGTTAACCAGATATTTGCTCTGTCCTTTCGTCTATTCATCATCATTTGAGTCCACTGCGGAACATTTTTTTGCGCGCATTTGAACTGGCTGTCACTCCATCTAATGGGAGCTCGCCCTGCGCTACTATACGCACCTGGAAGTAACCGGAGAGTTGCCCTACCCCTAAGCCTATTCATCATCACCATCATCGTAGCCTGTTTGAGTCCACTGCTAAAGCCTGGGCTTCCCCCAAAGACTACCACGAAGCACGAACCTGGGCCACCTGTAACTTCCAGCACATTGCGGCGAACTCTAACAGGTTGAAATGATGACGATGACGGTATGGTCTTAATTGCTGACCTTTCGAACACTATAGAGTCCATGGTCAGGGGACTGAAATGTTTCACGCCCTAATGTAACTTCTTGATTACATACCATTTTTGTGCAAAATAACAGATTGCCATTACGATCCGCCATTACACATAAGTCAGTACGCCTTGACATTAACGCACAATTTATTTGGACAAATAGATGACGAAAAGTTCGTGTAGCATACGGCTACGGCATTTCGCAATCATTGTACCAACAAGAGTAATCACATTGTGAATCTGACATTGACATATTGATATAAAATGTAAAGATTACTAGAAGGGTTTTCGTTTCCTCCTATTCAAATGAAAACGATACTAAAAACAATAATTCAGAAAATAAAAAAATTCTGCCGTATATCATAGTTTTTGTTTTCGATAAGTCATTTTTTGTTCACTTTCAAATGAAGATTTTAACCCATATCCGTTAGTGACCCGAACCAATCAGGAAAAACATTTTTCTATCAGAGAATATCACCAAATAAGTATACTCTCGGTACGAATGTCTATAACTCTATAAACATTCAAACGGGTGTACCAATCTCGGCGAACAATTAATTTAAGCCTAATTAATGCGTTCAAACAATTCACAAACACAATATCTTGTTAATGCATCCCCAATATAGCGTTCCGTTCGTCGATTTCGCTTTCGATCTAGTAAAATAACGTGGATGCAATTAACGCATTAAATCGTTGATTGATAATTTAAAAACGAGCGATTCGCGGACGTTACTCGGGCGAATTTATCGAATGCCTGAATTTGGATTTGACTAGTAATTTTTAGTTAGACCACCACAAACTAATATATTAGATAAGATGGACAATTTATGAAAGATCAATTACTTAAAGCGGTCAGAACAACTTGCACTGATTATTAATAAATTTAATTTGTTCAACGTGAAATTTCTTCAAGTGTTTCGAGGACGCACTACGAGACAAAAGCGTAGGAAATTGTAGTTGTTATTCTTTACCGACATTTTGTACTTGACATTATAAATTCAAAGTGTAAGCTTCGAATTTATAATGTCAAGCTAAGCGGCCCTTAAGTCTTACGTCGTCATCGACATGCCGACACTGAACATTATCCTACCCTTTGGACCATCATCACCCTTGACTAACACCACGTGAAATCCTATCAGCCACTGACCCCTTGGGTAGGAAAAATTGGGCAGTGGATGGCTGTATGGAGAAAAGTCCTACGTCCTTACTAGAAGTGCGTTAAAAACTATTTTTGAAATCATTTAACGGTCGGAAAATCAAAATTTCTCCAATGTTTTTACTATTTGTATTATATTGTACTACTGAACACTGCCACTAACACTTTAAAATACACACTTTAATTTACACTTTAATAATATTTTAAAGATCCCATCACTTCTTAACACAAAAATTTTGCATGTTTTAAAGAGGAATAAAACTTGAAGCATATACAAGAATTACAATAAAAATTAAATTATATTTATAGCAATATTTTCCTATTAAGACGCATTATATCAACTAAACATGTATTAATCAATTAAATTTACACCTTTGTGATTATTGTATCGCTAGAATCGATAATAAGATATTTTTAAATAAACCTCAAGGAGAAATAGAAGTCGGAATAATGCTACTTATGTCAAACTTGGTACATACTGTATTTAATTATATTAATGGCTTTTGTTGTGCCGCAGAAACGGGCCCATTTCGCTCGACTCCGATAACATAAATTGCTCTATTTGAGAATTGCGCTTAATAAGACATCTTTTCAATATACAACGATGATAGATTTTGTATTATTTGATGATAGATTTTGTATTTGTATTAAATAGAGAAAATATATCATTTTATCATATTCTCAATGACGTTAGATATAAATTAATGTATACGTTTGCTGTAAAGGATGCACATTAGATGCCCATAGAATGCCGGTGTGTTATAGAATTATTTATACTTTTGTATAAAGTGTATAAGTGAAGTTACCAAAACCCTATTGCAGGTTGGGGACCTAATAATGCCTTTGCAAGAAGTCCATAGATACTCATTTAACATGAACAAAACTTTTGCCCGTTAGCCTACTTCTTTAAAAACGATCGAAAGAAAAAGATGAATTACCATTTTAACGCCATCTATGGTTGAAACAAACTCAGGTCTAAATCCAAATTATTCTTTTTCAATAACTAATCTAGATTTAGATCAATCAGGCTTATGTCATCAATGGCTAACCCGTTTACGAAAACCCTCTCTCACGTACGAGGGTCGTCTTAATCCAAAACGTCCACTAATACTCGTTACAGATGTAAATAAGCTAAGGCAGCGTATTTGTTACATTTTTTTTGCGTTAATCAAATGTTTAATATTCACAGAGCGACCAGTTACCGTTTGATTAGCCGGTTGATAGCGAACGCCCATTTTCACAGGCGGCCGGGTTCGACATCCTCTGCATTGAAACGCGTATCTATCGCGGGATCCCTTTGTGAACTCGTTAGTACGCGGTATTGTTAGAGAACATTTAGTGCGTAAACATCATTTTTGACTCGGTCCCATTGAACGCCGGCCGCAGTGGGTCAGTGTTTCCAAGTCTCCGGTTTGCGTTCGTGTTTAGAGTGCACAAATTCAGAGACTTCAATCTTAGATCTAACTACATAATATTATTACATATTGTAGCTTATTTCATAATAAGCAGGTCTATACGCTACCTAAAGCTTACATACCAATGTTATGTTGACATTGTGAAGTAACAGGCTGTTAATAACATGCTGTATGCTTTCTGCGGTCTCTGTATCAAATTAAATTTTACACTACCCTACAGACTAAAAGCGAATACACTGTCTGTAACAAAATATAGAGAAATACAATCTCATTTAAAAAAATAACACTGAAATCATAAAACAGATGTAAATCTCGATTTGGAATTCGAGGAAGCGAAAATATTAAATTTGCCCTTTGTTTCAGATTGGACGAGATATTTGACTTACGACGAAATATACAACAGCTCGGACTATGCACAAATACGTCACAGCATGCCATACATACCACAAACCCATAGTTTTAGCCATAGAAATAATCAAAATAATCATAGAATAATAGAAACCAAAGGCACAATAGAGCAACATAGATTAAGAGGACCAAATGAATTGTCAAGCAATCAACAACTTTTAGTAGGTTTTTCACATGATCCATATAGACATTCTATACCGGAAGTGGATTATGCAAAAGGAGTGAGGTATGTAAAATTTTGGATCAATTATTCCATAATTTTTAAAGTTATACTTCTTTTGGCGCCTTTGGAAAAATTATGAGAGTAATGTTTTTACCATACGCGCGCACACCGACCCTCAAAAAGCTCTAATCCTCTAATAACAACTTTTTGACATTTACAATAATTCCAAGTTATTTAAATAAACCATTATTGCACTTAATGTCTTTACGCTAATAAGTATAACTTCTTACGTGCGTGCACTTACTTTTTTATTTGTGATAATGGTAAGCCAGTAATGTTAAGTTACGACCGTCCCATTCCATCTGAAACACCAGTAGAACTGCTTAGACTACTTTATTCTTCTCGCTCTGCTTTAGATACTGAGCTGGTGGTTATACCCTATGTTAAGTTTACAAATTGGCTGCTACCACAGGGTTACAAATGCCCTACGGGCTATCACAACGGGCGGCGGTTATCACTGAACATGACACATGTGAACAGCTAGCTCGCTTGCAAACTTCTCACATGAAAAAAATCACAATGGACTATGCATAAAAAACAATAAAAAATCATCATCATCATTAATAACAATATTGGCCACTTGGAAGAGAAAGCCAAGCTGGCTTCTAAAAAGCTTGGTGTCCTGGGTAAAGCGGGGCAATATTTCCTTCCGTCCACATCACCTGCTGCACAAAGCGCAGATTCAGCCGCACATGGAGTACTATTCTCATCTCTGAGCTGGAGCGCACCAATATCCGCTCCCATTTGACGGCATCCAACGTAGAGCTGCTCGAATCATCGGCGACCAGGTCCTTTCCAAACATCCCGGCCCTGCGAAGAGATGTTTCATCTCTTTGCGTTTTATCGAATCGATCAAGGGGAGCGCTCTAAAGACTTGTTCGTATTAATACGTGCTGCTAAATTTCAACACCGAAAGGTGCGTCAAACTGCCAAATATCATTGCAACCACACTCTACCCACCTCTATAGTTGGCTGTCCACCACTGTGCGTAACTTTCTGCCAAGCAAGTTGTAGAATCAATTGTCAACAGCGGTATTTCCGGACTGATAATACTTAGGTATATATTTTTTTATTTGTGCCCACCTTCAATTGGTCACTGTGAATTTGGCTATAATTTTGTGAGTCATAACTGGTCGGGGTTGCGTTATTTTCCTAACGTGACTAGACTATGGCCTGATGTGAAATTTCATTCTCCGTTTCAGGAATATAGACCCTAACCGGTACGCGAATAAGAACGATAATCGCGGGAAGCGTGGTGTTCTCCACCTTTACAACATGATATTCTGCGCGACCGGCTGCGAACCCTTGGCCTATAAAGGCTACGGATGCTATTGCGGCTTCCTGGGCTCCGGCCGACCCACCGATGGGATTGACAAGTGGGTGCATCACCAGTATTACCAATTCGACTTTTGCTTCTATATCAATTTACTTTTTATTTTAACAACGCCAAAATAATGTAGTGTACAATGTAGATACAACTAGATAAATATACATCAATTGTTTCGTTTTTTGTGACAAAGTGATAAACGGGCCGCCGCTCATTGACATTTGCAACAACCGTAGGCTTGCAGATGCGTTGCCACCCTTTAATAAGTGGGGCCCAAACATTAAACGGTTCTCACCAGACGAAACGCAGAAGTGTAACATTTCTTCTTCACGCCGGTCTTCTTCGAAGTAGTGGTACCAACCCCGTGGATCTGCCCATACGTGCAACAGTGAACACATACGAGTATAATGTTCGATCTGTAATAGTAATCTGCCAATAAAATAGCGACCACTACCCCTTTTAGTTGCTGTCGCCTGCACGACGAGTGCTACGAGGACATCTACTGTCCCTTCTTCACGGTCTACTTCCAGCCGTACTACTGGAAGTGCTACCACAACCAGCCTCTATGCGCGCTAGAGAACTACCAGACCAGGCACCAGTTCGTCAACGGTTGCGCCGCGCGCCTCTGCGAGTGTGACAGACAGTTCGCGATGTGCGTGAAGAAATACTCGTGCCCGAGAGGCCGCGCCCTCTGCTACTCCTCACCGCTTAGACTGCTGCAGAATCTGCTGATGTTCAAATGATCTCCCATAATTGGAACATTTGGCACCTTCTGCTGAACACGAAAGTACGGGCAACAAGTACCGATCGTGAAGCATATCTGATTAGGATGAATGTGATGAAATAAATAAACACGTTGTTTTTTATTTGTGACCTCCCCCCCCCCCCCCTCCCCACAGATCTATCAATAAATCAACATTAATGATGCTCCTGCCAATATTTACGGATTTGTGGAACTTGTGGATAAACTATCAGATTTTGGTGTATTATTTTATGTTATTTCTAAAATAAAGCCGTATATTAGACCTTTACTTTGCAGGGAAATCATGTTACAACTTAAAAGTTGGTTAAATCCTTTTATTGATTTACGGGTACAGTATAGCAAGGCTATGTGGTCTGTTATTATTCATTTACCTACGTATAATCTGGGCACTATCGTTATTCTATGATAACCTCGCAAATTATAAAGTTTGCACATGTACATACATAAAATATCGAAACAAAAACATTAATTTAAGTCTGACAGAATATAAATTTTTATAAACTTATTTTTTTCGTTTTCTTGCTTACTTTTTCTATTTTACTATTTCCTTATTTTATTTGTAAATACTTACTTATATGAAAAATAAAATTTAGTAGCCAATGTTACCTTACTATTTTAGCTTTTTAATTTATATGCGTTATCTTTTTAAATTGGTCAGTATATCTGTAGAATGTACAAATATTTACGTCGGTATTTGTTTTTTAAATAAAAAAGTGTTTTTTTTTAAATTACTTAAAATACTTTAACATGTAAATTATACTTACTTGTAAATTGCCAATTATCAATTATGGCTAAAAACTTTTTTTACATGAAATATACCAAGATAAAAAGTTACTTTTGTTTTCATTAATTTTCCATTGCTTATAAGCCCAGCACGACGGGGGCAGTACATCAGCTCCAAAACTTAAGAACTAGTTGTGGCAGGACTAAACTGTTTACTTTATATGGGTGCTTGAATCTCTGAAAATAAAGAGCTAATTTCTTGTATTTACGCGATTACACATTATAAATGAAACTAATTTTACGGATTTATCGCGTTTATTTTTAGTTTTAATTCCCGACGTTTCGAACCCTTTACAGCGTTCATGGTCACGGGACAGGGGAATTAAAATTAAAAATAAACGCGATAAATCCGTAAAATTAGTTTCATTTATAATAAAGAGCTAATTAATTACCTAAATCAAGAAGTTAATTCAAAGATTTTAACGAGATAAAAGAAGAAAATGTGTACGCTGCACACTTGACGTAAATAAAAATGGTAAAATTCTCTTTCAATATTTTTCTGTGCCGAAATTCAAGAACACAATCCATCGTTAGAAATTAACTCTAATTCAAAAAGTCTACAAGATGAAGTGATTGGGCTGCATAGCTGAAAACCACTACAATAATTAAAACTGTCAAAGATGCCCAATATTACTAAGCTTTTATAATATTGATGTTTTGTGTAATAAAATGTACCTACAACAAGCATTAATTCAAAACAAGTCCATTGTCTTGATACAGCACAAATCCTCAAAATGAAAAATAAGCAAAATACAACAACGGTTCATAACTACTAAAAACACAGTAAATATATTATTCCCCATTATGACCCACCGACGACCCGAATGGCGTTGTGGGTAGTGTACCTGCCTCCTGCGCCAGAGGGTGTGGGTCCGATCCCCACTACTGGAAAAATATTGTGTGATGAACATGGTGTTTTTCTAGTGTCTGGGTGTTTATATATGTATAATATGTATTTATTTACAAAAGAAAAGTATGTTTAAGTATATTTATCAGTTTTCTAGTACCCATAATACAAGCTTTGCTTAGTTTGGGACTGGAAAATGTTGTGTAAAAAATGTGTCCTAAAATATTTATTTATTATTTATTTATTATATCTCTTAGTCCGTGCACAGCTTAGAACAAGAACATAATAGCAGTAAGACGTCCAGGACGTAATTCATATTGTACTCAAAATGTTGTAAAGACGAAAAACTCCTAAAGCGTAGAATATACTTTACGCATATCCTATCTAGTCAGGACTTACTGATGTGAATGAGGTATAAACGGATGGTAAAGAACGCGAATGCTTCTTACTAAGCCTTTATCAGAGTCTGACAGGCGATGTATCTTAATCTTCTTGTAAAAACTGTTACTGTTTTAAATATCTGACAATTCGAACAACTACAAGGCTAAAGGCCTAGGCCACCTTGGCCAAAGAAGAGACAAAGGCGTTCGATGTCATGAAGGAGATAATCGGGCTACTTCTGGTGCAATTTTGGTGCTATTGATAGCAGAAGGTTGTGTATTTTGAGTTCTTGCAGTATTGGTGTACTTAAATTTAAAAATATTTTTTTAAATAGCAATCTTGTGAAATATCTTAATAGTGTTGCCAAGTATTTAATGCTACCATTTAAATCAAATAGACTTATTGTTTCATATTTTTAAGTAAGTAGTAATAAAAATGACAAATTCAACACGAGGCAGCATCTAAATCAATTATTGTTTAATTGAAAACGCGAATCAGTTTCAGCTCATTGCCTATCATACCAGTGACTAATCGATTGCTTCCCTATTAATAGAACATTTCTGCATAATTCGGACGATCAAAATTGATATTCCACCAAAAGGCATTAAACAATAATCGCATTCAAAGTCGAATGAAGTGAATATTATCGAAATAGCAAATTGCATATCTCCACCGCGTTTGAAAATGGTTAGTGTTTTATACCTTACTTTGAACTGATATATAAACATAGGACTAGTGAACGTAGTGTTTGCTATTTAACGTTTTATGGTGCTAAACTCTGCATTTAAGATGGCAAAAAGAGTGGGCGCGAATCCGGTTGAAGAGGGTTCGATTCCCGAAGCCGCGAAAAACTTTATTTAATATTTTTTCTACAAATTTTAATTGTTAGCTATTAACAATAATGGTATTGTATTAAAATATTATCAAATACTCCTATCTAATTTATAAAAGTTCGAGAGAAAAGTCAAATGTGCAATGTATCACCGAGAAAATGCTGTCCCGTTTTAGAAACGAACTTGGGTCGTTTTTATTCTCGCTCGAGTCAAGCGATTTATTACCCAGAGATTAATGTTTCACACATGTTGTGTGCAACTCGTGTTTGTAAATTTTGAGGAAAAGAAGATCCTAAGTTAATTAAACGGAGACAAATTTCATGCCCTTGTAGCGTTCTAGAGTATTTTTTTGCACTTTTTCTGGCAGATAAGGTAACCAGGGCCCACATCCTTTAAGGTTGTTCACGCAAACACAACACCCGTAGGTTGTTAACACCTGGTGAGGTAAATTACTACCCCTGGCTACTTGTGCACATGACTCGAGATAGCATTAGAATGATGGTTTGTCAACTTCCCTCATCAAAAGTTATTAATAAATCATATGTTTCTTTTTCTCTCTAATTTTAGATGCAAAACTTCCGCCTGCCAGTTATTGCTCTAATCACATTGTTGCTATTGGCTGTGCAGTGCGATTCCCGGAATTTGTACAGAAGACAAAGCAACGGCAAACAGACCTGCATGAACATTTCCTTGTGCAATTTCTACTACCCTTATCCATATTATTACTATCCATACACATATTATTATCCATATCCATATTTTTATTACCCCTACGTTTACGGCTAGTACTACAATGTACCTACCAAAAATGCATTCTACATAAGTTATATGACTGAAACAAATATTAAAAGGCATTATAAACAAATGCTGGAAGTTTGTGTTTCATTTCTTAAAAATATTAAAGTTGTATATATTGTTAAAACTTGTAGAAAAATGTATATTTTGTTCAAGGCAATTAACTGTTTTCTTTACTGAACTCTGACACGTTGGACAATTTTGTATGGAGGGGAAAAAAGATTTGCGTCATCGACATGCTAATTTCACGTGTTTTGTCATTGATTTTGATGACGTAAAAAATATTGATAAGATTTGGTTTCCAATACCCTTGATCTCTGTAAAACCAATTTCTATTACAATTGTTATTGTTTGATAGCATTTTTGTCGGACATGTTAAAACTATAATCCCATAAAATTTATAAAAAAATAATTACTTAAAATTATTGTATATTGACTTAAATTATCCGAAATAAAACAAGTCTTTAGCAATTTAAATTAGTGTTTTGTGATTTTAATAATTGAACAATTAAATTACAATTTAATTCAAAAATAAAAATAAACAGTTATTCCAGTTTTAAACTTTCCCTTCTGCTGGCAGCCCCCATGACTGTTTATTTTTTTTTACATAACTTAGGTGTGTATGCATTATAGAAAGTCAACTTTTAGTGTGCTATTATATATGTACATACCCGAAATACATTGAACGATAATTAAATTTGTTCACTCGTGTAACTTGTCAAAGTTATCCTTAATTAACATTAGTGAAATTGGCAATTAGTAAATTGTTTTGATTAATTCAACTCCCACAGTTCTAGGAGAATGACATTATAAATAGAAATAGGGTTAGCTTCTCCTAACTAAGGTTTACAATGAATGAACAAAACAAAGTTATATATATCCAAGGTGAAGATAAAAAAGTGGCTAGTGCGTAAATAATTCTTTAATTAATTTTCTTTTATCCTAATAGGAACGGAACCTGAGTCTGCCTTAATTTATTTTTGTATTCTTAAAACTGCAATAAAAATGGAGATGCCGAAAATATTGAGATATCCATTTTTTTTATTCTAAACACGAATAATAATAAAAATAAAAACAATCTTTAGTCGAGATATTTGGATCCGATACATCAATTTAAAATATTCAATATCTAAATCATATCAAAAACGATATTTTTCCAAATTCGAATGCGGCACAGTCCGTATACGTCAAATATTTAATACTTCACATACATTTAAATCACACAGGACAAGGGGTCCTAAACAGAAAATATCGAGATATCGATATTTTATATTCGATATATTGAGGCCAATATTGGTATTGTTATAAATATCGGTATATCGATAAATTTCTTCAATTTCGACATCCCTAAATGAAAATTCTAACACAAATCCCGTCGATCAGCATGTCAGTATGTGTTGGTGACGCGATTCCGACTGTGACACAATTGAAACATTAAAGTAACAGTCTATATAGGTCCCACTGCTGGGCAAAAGGGCTCCTCCGTATACAATTATGTATGTCTGTAATTAAATGCGATAAAATCCATAAAATAGTTTCATTTAACAATGTATAATATTCGCGTATAAACAAGAAATCAATAGGTGTTATGTAGATAAATATGGTCTCCACGGGCTTTCTTCTCCAAAATGTGCGGGCCGCTTTTCCCGCCACGGTTCCCTAAACGACTTCACACGTAGGGCTCTTGTTTCTATCAAAGTTCCTTTTATTTCGAAGGCCTGCGCCTTTTATGCTACGACTGCGAGACCCGACTTGAATTTGACTCTTGGGAGAAATGCTAAGCATTCTCGTTTGGGATGTTACTTGTGCAATGGCTGCCTCGCATCTAAGGGGTACTTCGGTTAGGGCCAGGGCGGATTCGGAGGCAGCTGAAGTAGCGAAAATTTGTGTATCTTTGTTTAGATTATGTATTTGTGCCATCAGTCATTGAAACTTTAGGTCCGTGTGGTCGAAATTTTTGAAAGGTTCACGACCTTAATACATCGCCGCGGCAAGAGGGCTGGTTATTTTCTCGCTCACAGGTTAAGCATAACTATTCAGCGAGGAAATGCAGCTAGAGTTCTTGGCAACATGCAACGTTATTAGATAACATATAATTGTTAATATTTTTGTTAAGTAATAAACCCATTGGATTTAGTTGGAAATAAACACCATTTAATCCTTATAAATAGTTTTATTTAATTATTCATGTTACGTCAATGTTACAAGAGATGTATGATAATTCTACAACGGGGTACATTGAAATAGGGGCGGGGGGGGGGGGGGGGGGGGCTAAATCAGCCAATTATCTTTTAAAGTCGTTGATAGACCAAATATTTTGGTTATTCTATCCAGTACATGCCGACATTTATTCATTACTTAAAACGTAGAAACTACTTTTTGATTTAACGTTTGACTTACGTGACAGTTATCGTCCGTTTACTTATTGTTTCAATTTTTGTATATCATTTTTATACGTTTCGAACGTTCGAAAGGAGGTATATACAAAATTATAAATGTACTATTAAAATACATGACCTACTCATATGAATGACTTCACGAGGATATGATATGGTATGTAAAATATGTATACAATGTAATTAGGTTATATTTTTTATCGATATCGTATTGGGCGTATATATTATATATATCGTATAATATTATATATAAAATGATGAAAAAAGAAATAATATACAAAAGCACATTCATCGGGAAGTAATTCAAAAACAGATGCACTATATAATGAATATATACATTACAAAATAACAGTAATTTGTGCTTGCAAACAAATATACATAAATACATATGTATAAATAAAGTCGTCCACCAACAAATAGAATGCAAATTACTGCAAGAATTTGACACCACCTATGACATTCACCGGCCTCCCCTTGTACTTCTTAGAAATATCCGCCTCGATCTGAAAACAGAGGAAATATCTGTTATGTAAGATTAGCACATAAAACAGGCATTTGACTCGTGAGAACCTAATTTTACAGTGTCTAAGTCAAGCATTTGAAGTTGGTAGAATTGAAAATTTAAAAACAGTGAAAATGGACAATGTTTAAAAAATAAAAAAAATATATATATGCATGTGTATCGGCGCAGCTGTAGAGGCAGGAATACTTTTTAAAAAAAAAACCGGCCAACGAAGGGTTCCGCACCATTATTTATAAAAACGGCAAATAAAATCATATCTGTTGTATGGGAGCCCCACTTAAATATGTTTTATTCGGTTTTTTTTTTTTAGTATTTGTTGTTATAGCAGAAACAGAAATACATCATCTGTAAAAATTTCAACTGTCTAACTATCACGGTTCATGAGATACAGCCTGGTGACAGACGGACAGACAGACAGACCCGTTTAACCTTTGGGTACGGAACCCTAAAAAGGTCTTTGAAGGATCTAGTGTTAATATCAAAAAGACTTTCAACTAAAATACGATCATAGGTTTTGTAATTCAGCAGAGTACCCACATAGGCCCAGATGGCGATTTAATCGGCGACGATAAAACTCCAGATGGCGCTGTAATCGATGGATATATAAACATAACCAAATTTTTTTTAATCCCAAGTGTAATGTATTCCTTGTTAATTACGTCCACATTCAGTGTAAAGTTATTTGTGAGTTGTGCATAATTAACCTGGATTTAAATATCTATTCCGGCTTGAGTCGTTAAGAGACTCACTCGTTGCAAGATCGTGAAAGTTCCTCTAAAAAGTTTGATTTAAATTGTTGGCGCTGGCAACACTGTAACACGGATATGACATTATCTACTCGAGCCAAGGGACACATGGTGGCATGGAGCAGTGGTCACTTGGATTTCGGCTGCGTTCCCGGACGGCGATATAACCACTAGTGCTGCTTGTCGTTATAATAGTTGTTAATATTCAAGTTCAGTAATAGTTAAAATATTAGGATCGAGGTAAAAACGTTAGAGCTCTTATAAAATATAATATATTCCGGCTTAGGTCATTAAGAGACTCACGTTAAATCCCAAGTTGCAAGACCGTCACAGTTCCATCAGTATGTTTGAAAAAGATGAAGCCGTGACTGAGCTATCAGTGCACGGGCGATCGCTTTTAATTAATTATACTCAAACATCCTGACTTCAAATCCCGGTGCACTTACCACGTGCTCAGCGTTGAAGGAAAAGGAGGAGGCCTGCATATTTTTTTTTATGTGAAAAGTTGCCAAGCGAGCAGACGGTTCACCTGATGTTAAGTGAATACCGCCGCCGATGGACATCTATTACACCCGAGGGTTGCAAGATGCGTTGAAAAGCTTCCGAAAATTGGGCTCCGGCCACCTCACTCAGCAGACGCAACGCGAAAGTTTTATACTTCCACTTTACGCCGGTCTTCAGCGATGTCGTGGTACTTTCCCGGACGAGCCTGCCCATTCGTGCAACAGCCGAGGCTGCCGCGTGGCCCTACCACAGTTAATTGGCCTTTGGAATACCGGTTATATAAGTTAAATGATAATAATAAAAACTAATTCAAGATACGTATTTGCACAACGTTACACATTCCCAAACTAAGTGTAACTGTTGTCGCTTAAGGCGGATGAAGTAGAAGTAAATAAATTGCATTCACTAAATATAAGTGATTTTAACAACAAGCCGTTTTGTTGCATTTATATTACGTTACTTTTTTAATAATTTTCATACACAATCATATTACAATTCAGTTCTAGCCTATTTCTCAGTATTTTTCAATTTGTGAATAAATTTCTTTCTGTTGACTTGGAGCGTACACCTGGTGTAAACGATAGATAAATACAACGCCGAAAAAAAATTAAAAAAAAAACAAGCGCCGAAAACAAAAATAAATATTGACCAATAAACACGTGGTACCTCAGTTGTTCACATTAGCGTCTAACGGGACATCTATTCAATCGCTTGACGAGTGTTTTCGTGTAAAGTTATTTAATCTTTCTTCTCCCTCGTGTAAGCTTCCTTGAAATTTCACTCCAACCCTCGCTCAGTTACGGAATCGCTGCGGAGGAAGTTTCACTGAGGAAATTTATAAGACAACCGCAACAGCGCACGCTCAACCTAAAGACGGGGGGCACCAATTTAAAAATACAAATTAAAAAAACTGTTGGTGTCTCGAATACAAATATGTTTTCTATTTTACTATCAAGTCCGCAGCGGTGCGTTGAGCGGAATGGCGCGGCGACTTTCGCGGCGAATTCGCATTGGCACAGTGAAATTGCTCAATCGTAATCGCGGCGAATGAATTGATTAGCAGCGACAAGCCTGTCAGACACAGCGAGTGTTCACTGTGTGTGACCAAGGCATTAAATTCTAGTCGAGAGGTATGGATTTAAATTAAAAAAAAAAACTGCCGCGCATTCAACCCAGGGGAACAGCACGGATTTAAATAAAAGAAACGGCACCGAGTTCAACCCTAAAGGCGGTTTGCACAGACTGGATTAAAATAAATCGCAGCGTTCAACCCTAGAGGCGGGAGGCACAGACTGAATCAAAAGAAACCGCAGCGCGTTCAACCCTAGAGGCGGGACACAGAATTAAAGAAAAGAAACCGCAGCGCGTTCAGCCCTAGAGGCGGGAAGCGCGTGTTTTTAAAAAAAACCACAGCATTCAACCCTAGAGCGCAACCGCAGCGCGTGCCGCGGTAGAGGCGGGGCAAAGAGGCAAAGAGGCAAAGAGGCGGGGCCCACCTGCGCCTGGAGGTCGCCGGTGGCGCGCAGGAGGCGCTGGAGGCGGGGGCGCGCCTCTGCCGCGCGCGCCTCCGCCGCCTCGCGCCTCTCCGCCTCGCGGGCCGCCAGGCGCGCCGCCTTGCCGCACACCGCCAGCCGCTGCTCGAGCTGCGCGCTCAGCACGTCCACGTACCTGGGGGGCGACTGTCAAGTGGCTATATCACGTGTGGCAATATCACGCTATCTAATCGTATGAGCATACCTATAGGTATGCTCATACAATTAGCTACCTATAGGTATGCTCATACGATTAGATAGCGTGATATGGGATTCTCCCAGGTATGCTTTTTATAAAAAGCATACCTGGGAGAATGCCACCACATAACATTAGCCCATAAAAATGTTCTACTTTAAAAAGCGCGTAATTTTTTACTACCAAACTATTCGGATCTGGCCAACATACGATATAGAACAGCGCACCTGGGCGAGTGCTTCACGTTGTGCAGGTGAAGCACCTCGGGCGCGGTGAGGGACGCGGCCGCCGCCTGCACCGTGGCCAGCATGGCCGCCAGCGAGGACTCGCTCTCGGAGGGCAGCTCCTGCATCAGGCTGAAGGTCTGGCTCTCCGCGGTGGCCGTCTCGTACATGCGCATCTTGAGGAACGACTCCAGCTGGAATGGATGCAGAGAGTACGGAGGAGTAAGTGGAGTACAGTGGGTATCGGGGCATAGTCCACCACGCAAAAGGGCATAGTCCACCACGCAAAATTAGTTTGCACTACACATTAACACTGAACAATGAAAGAAATATCTTTTGTTAGAAATAAATCGAAACATCGAATGGCAACACTGCAACGGGGTATAAAACGAGCAGCGCTCACTTCATACAGTCTGTCGTCAGCCTTTGTTGCGTGCGGAAACTCCACCCGAATTGTGTCGGTTATTAAGAACCGTAGTTTGGCTTACTGGCCCTTCTAAAAAATCAGTTATCGTTTTTATTTCTAACACTAATAATTATGTTTTTTTTTTTTCTATAAATAGTCTTTAAACATTTTATCCATACAAGGTTGCTTGGGAGAAAATACTCTAGCAATAGCTTTGTTTTATACAACTTATATTAAACTACTCGTTTATAATCCTTATTGATTCACAAATTAGCAGTAGTACAGTAAAATAAAAAAATAGATCAACACAGAGCACAGCAGAAGTAGTCATACAGAAGACTAGTATACAATAATAGTTTTTAGTTTAGATTTTTCAATAATTTAAAGTTAAGATACAAATAAGGTTCTTGTTGTAACATTAGTCGATAACTTAATAATTGAAAGTTGTGTATACCTATGAATATATGTAATGTTATTTTTCTTCAAACTTATGTTATGTATGTTTTTGTCTTTTATATGTTTGTACCTAATAAAGAAGAAAAAAATAGTAGTATCAAACAGCTGTCAAAAGTTGTAGCACAGTACCTCGAGTAATTGTTCCACGAGCTGATTCCTGGTGAGTGGGTTGTCAAGGAGCGTTAGCGCCTCTCTACCGGTAGCCACCCCCCCACCCAGACCTTGCTCTTCCACCACGATACCGGACTCCTCTAGGGATATTCCGGCAACATCAGCCGATATGTCCTGGAAAGAGTTTAAGACTTTAATCGAGATAAATAATAATTAAAGAGGCAGGACGACTTTGTTTTATACTATGTAGTGATACATATAATATTCATTAACAAAATAATTATACAGATTATAATTAATAAAAAAAAATATCTTTTTTTTTAAATTAAAATTAAATTCGTCGTAAACTCGAAACACTGATACTCACGACATCTATCGGCGCGGCGTCGACAGCTCCCCAGTCGATCTCCGCGGCCGTATCGCCGTCGCCAAAGTCAATGGCGGCCGACGCGTCGATCGAGCCGAAATCGATTGCATTGTCGCCAAAATCTATCTAAAAGTGAATGAATAACATTTTAAATAATTAATACATACTTAGGACTCTTTTTAATTTTAATACTAATCTAACTCAAGATGAAGTTTAGATGTGACTTTGATTGATAAATTTCGCACCGTGAAGACGTCAGCCGCGTAGCTCAATTAGGCTAAAGCATCTGGACGTGTTACTCAAAAGATGCAGGGACGAATCCCTCAGGACCGACAAATGTTTACTCAGTTTATGTAATAAACTCGCATTCAATACTCTACATATCTGTATTCAAGTTAAGTCTACTTAATAAATTTCAGCACTTTTAAATGTGAGTTTCTAATTTGGAACAGTATAGCGAAAAAGGCTTCCTGCCATCTCAGCCATTCAATTACAAGAAGAATTCATTCACATACAAGAAGATTAAGGTCGGAGAGGAAATAAAATAGTTACTTGATCACCCGCTCCTTGAGTGTCCGTTTCGACCTCAATGTGTATAGGGTCGGGCTCCACGCTGAGCGGTGGTTCCCCGTAGGTCCACTCGTATACTGTCGTGTTGCCGTGCTCGACCATGTATTGCAATAATGGCAACACCTTAGGAGCTTCTTCACCAATCACATACTTCGAGAACGCCGAGTACAATTCTATCGCGGGGAGTAGCGGCTTGAGTGAGTTACCGATCTGAAAAAGAAATCACACCAATATAGCAATTTAGCGGTTCAAATACTATACTCGGCGATAAATATTGAAGAAAGACCTGTGCAAAAGAGACAATCTGCTAATTTTGGCGTCATAGAGCATTGTCTCTGTCGCACACTGGTACAACGACTGCACACTGGTACAACGACTGACAAGCCTCACATAGATAGCGTATTGATGTTTTTCAAGAAGGACTTGTTAGCTGCAGGGGACATCGAGTCAAAATACAGATAATTATTATTCCTAAAATTCTTAAACCCTGCCATATGCCTTTTGCTTTTAGACAAAGAGTGTAGACAGAAACAGATCGCCCTCAAAGAGTTCTACGAAACTATACTACTTTTTCGGATTAGGCTACTAAACCTGTTTTAAAAAATCTGCCAGTATACAATTATACGGAGACTAACGCATTACAATCAATAAAGCAACAAGATATGTCAGAGACTTATCCGATCCATATAGCAAATGAAGTCTTGCCAAAGTAAAAAGAGAGGGAAACGAATGTAAGACCCCACAGTTTATATCAGCTGTGTGAGATTCAAGATGGATAAATTGATGGATAATGCATTGATATATAAAGATAATTTTTGTTTTTTTTATTTTAGAGACATTTAATGTTCATGACCCCTATGATAGATACAAAATCCAGCATCAATAATCCTGATAAACTACTAAAAAATATATGCAATATACAGCAAAATGTTATTACAAATTTAGCTTATCTGAGAACGTGGCAAGCGTGCTTGCAGTTCACGTTGATGTTAAATGTTACAACAGGTGAGCCTCCGGCTTGCTGAAATATACTCTATATTTGTATAATTACTGATAGATTTAAGTCATTAAAATACTTACATTTTACTTGTTTGTTTATATAAACATACCTTATCATAAATTTCAGGGAGCTCCTTTAACCTTTCAACTAATTCCTTTTTAATTTTTTTCCCTTCAATTCCCAGCTGTTTGCACAGTGCTGAGAATTCCGATTTGCTTGAAGACTCACTTTTCAGATACTCCATGTGCTTCTTGTCACAATCCTGAAAAAGTTAAGGTTAATGTACACACATTAAATTATTAAATAATAGATGTCATTCTGCTTTCTTTTACATTCAGTTAGAGACCTGTACTAAATATATCACTAATTGAATTAAAGACAATAGTAAATGTTACAGATTGTATTATATGTAGGTTAATTATTTATTTGCCCGAATACATATTTGATTATTCTTTTTTTATTCTTTATTCTATTCGATAAAAACATTGCCCTTACTTTAGGATAACATTATCCTGTGTTGTAAGGATGTTTTACAAACATAAATTTCACGCGGACAAACACCCAGATGCGAAACAATTATCTGTGGATCGCACAAATAGTTGTCCCATGTGGGAATCAAACCCACGAACCCCGACGCCGAAGCCAGTACCTTGGCAAATGCGCAACAGAGTCATCAAAAGAAGATTAATAAAAGCAAATTGATAATTTTTGTAAATTTGAATCATTATTTTAAAAGTAATACTTCAGAAATGCTTACTTCTGATGAGAAAAAAATTAAACTTCTTTGACAACAATAATTCCAAAGAAATTTTAATTTTATTTACTTTTCGATTTAGAATTAACTCTAAAATTCAAATATATCCACAAAATTTAGATAAATAAAAATATAAAATACACGAAGGAGTAAGGTTACCTCAATGCTAGATCGGGGAATAAGTTAAAATCAAAATTTAAAATACAAACCAATTGTAATTGTTCCTCCTTTGCAATTTGCTTCTTTAAACTGGGGACTTCATAGTTTATGTTCCTCACGAGCATTTGTGCTGCTTCTGCCAAATACAAGTTTTCTTTCTCATAAGCCCTTGCAATATCTAACCAGTCCTTCATTCTCTGAGAGCCATATCTCCCAAACAAATTTTTAGTATCTGCTTCAGTTTCTTTCAGAATCTCAATTATTTTAAGACAATGAAAATAGTTTATGTAGCTGCCGGATAACAGGGCAGCAATGTCATTATGTACCGGCATGTCCTGTATTGCATTATTTATTTTCTCCCTCACTGCAATAATATTCTTCTGCCATTCTTTATTTACATGTCGACGACTTACAAGCCAGTCTTGCAGTTTTCCTATATTGATGTCAATGGGTATGTTACTCTCCTAAAACAATATTGGAAAACATTACTTGAAAATAAGTCAATACTGTGATTATTGTATTTTACACATAATAAAAATACTTGCATCCATTATTAACTATGTTCTGATAACTATGGGTCAAAGAGCTGTGAAGGGTTCACTCGTACGGGCTCGTCATTGAATTTTTACCTATAAATCTTTAATTCATAAGTTCAGACTTTGCCACTCTTTTCATGTGACGTGTCAACCGAGTGTTGTAATTTTGCGATTCTGTTTAATTACTGACTGACAAGTGACATGTCAATAATATCAAGTACCTATTGATTTTTGTTATTTTTTTTTAATAAGCCGTATAAGATACAAGCTTTTTGTCGGTAAAATAAATGAAGACAATCATAAACAATAATTAAGACTTTTATTTTGAAGTGTAGTATGCCTATAGCACTCCCCGGGGCTTGCTATCCGGGGGGAAGGTTGCGCGCGTAGGCTAGCCTCCTGCGTCCTAGTCTCCGGTGGCGGATTTCCAGGGTGGCAGTTGCCTCCCTTTCTCTCTCCGCGGCCTCCTTCCGGGTGATTATGTCCTAGCAGAATGCAACAACGGCACCCTGTCCTCGCTCGCCTGTCGGCTCGCTGTCCACCATAGCGTGGACCACGGCAGGTAGCGAGAGATCGTGCCCCACGATAGCCATCAGCTCTCGGGGCTGCTCCCGCCAGGCTGGGCACTCCTCCAGTGCATGTTGGGCCGTCTCCTCGGCACATACGTCGCAGTGGTGGTAAACCGCTGTTAGTTTCCTCCCCGCCAAGTGGCACAAGTACCTCCCAAAACAGCCGTGTCCAGAGAGAACCTGCGTCGCCCGGTAGATGAGGGTGCCGTGATGCCTGTCCAGCTACCGATTGAGTACCGGACGTATGGCCTCTATGGTTCTTAGGCCTGCACTGGGGTGCTCCAGCCTCTGCTCCCACTCGGCGATGGCGAGTGAGCGCAGCCTTAGTCAGCACCCCTTCAACTCCTCTAAGGCTGGCAGGTGACCCCGGGCTATTGCCTCCTTGCGCCAGAAGTGCAGAGGCGCGAGGATACTGGCTTCTAGGTCCCAGGGAATGAAACCTGCCAACGTGCACGCCGCCTCACCGGAAATCGTCCGGTAGGTGTCCGTCCCCGTATGGCCCGTATAGCTAACACCCTCTGTGGTCTGCACAGAAGCGCCAAGGTCCGATGATTCAGGGTGTCGGCCCAAACGAGAGCACCGTACAGGGTCATAGACCTCACGACCCCGGTGTATAGGCGGTGACAAGAGTCGTTGGGGCCGCCAACGTTCGGGTGCAGCCTTCCGAGAGCTGCCGCTGCTCTCGCCACTTTTGGAGCTAAGCGCTCGAAGTGGGTAACGAAATTCCATCGGTGTTCTAGGACTAGATCTAGCTTTAGTTCTCATTGTCAGCTGAACGTCGACACGGACGCCGTACACTATTATGTGGGCGTCCACAGGTGGCGCATTCCGAGGCCCATAGAAATACAGGGCTTCTTTAGTGCGCGCCACCTCTAGCCCCAGTCGCCGAATGCGCCCCACCACTTGCGCCACACCCGATGTGGCGAGAGCAGCAGCTCGGTTAAAATTGGCGCCGCGGGCGGTGAGAAGGATGTCGTCAGCGTAACAAGTTACCTCGACACCCCTAGGGTAGGCGCCACGCAGCACTCAATCATAACCTAAGTTCCACAAAAGTGGCCCTACTGACCCCTGTGGAGCCTCTGGCCCGGCTAGTTCAACTTTGTGAACCCAGTAGACCAGAGGTAATTACAGGTGCTAGGAGATCCAAAGTTTCCGCTGACAAATCGACCAACATTGCTATTTAATCTCGAAGCACAACGCCGAAAAATATCATATTATAAAAACTTTTAATTTGTTTTATTAATTTACGAAAACATTTATTAACTCAGTAAAAGATAAGTTTACTGATTAAAATTATTTAATATTAATTAATTAAATATTGAAAGATCGAACGAAGACTCACTATTAAATATAACAATACATACAAATAATACGACATTGTTTTGTTTTCTTTGCATATATTTAATATAAAATGTAATGTTTCTACACCAGAAATGTTCTACATAAGGGACGATACAACATTTAAGACTTGTATTATACCATGTTCTTGCATATAACCGTATCTTTATTTCTTTCAGTGTAGCACCAGCAGACCGTAATGATATATCGTCGTTATTATATCAGATTTAATTTCTAACCCATTTGTAATTTATTTTCACTTAATACTACTCATCATTAACTGTCAGAGTATTTTTTTGTTGTCAGTATATTTTTTAATACTGAATTCAATGTCCCCGATTGATAATATACCGTAGAAATAAACAAACGTACGATGCTCTTATCGCAGTTTAGTTTGAACTTTGTAGATAAGTAAACGTGTAACAAAACGTGAAATTAATTGTATCATTGACTGATTGCGAAATATAGTAATGTAGATGTAAATATTAAAAATCTTAAACTATTTAGATTTCTTAAACTATTTGTTTTTATTATGATGGATGATTTTCAATCATTAAGAAATCAGTAAGTAATAGAAATAATTTGTTGAAAACATATTTTTAAATACCAGTGTCTTTTAATAAGGAATTAAAAGATAATTCTAAAATAAAATATTTATAGACATTCTCTTGCATAAAATTTATTTTTATTTTAAATGTAGTAGGTACACTATTAACCGAGAGGCTTTGACCCTTGTCAGGCACTCCTATGTATTGTTTTCTTTTCTCACGAGTCACTTTATTCAGACCAGCAGTAGTATGCTAGAATCGTACTTCTCTCCCTATTGTAATATGTTATTTATATTTTCCAATGTATATCTACTGTTTATTTACAATAATAACAGAAATTGAAAAAAAGAACTTGTAATAAAGAAAATTAAGCTTAAATGGCTTTCACATGAGGCAACATTTTTATTTTTATGTCAATCAATTCAAATTAGGGATGGGTCGTATCGCTTTTTCTGAGTACCGTATCTGAATCCGATATCGATTTCAAATATCAGATTTCGAAACTATGTATTTTAATATCTAGATATTTTACGGTTCCCTATCCACGTTGATTAATAGAAAAAAAAAAAAAAAAAAAAAAAAAAAAAAAAAAAAAAAAAAAAAAAAAATATTGAAAATATAAATAACATCTTATATACCGCTTAATAATTGACTTTAACATATTTTTAGAACACGCAATCGAGTGGCAATATTTTTATTATTTGTGTAAGAAATAATACATTCAGTATTATAGCTTAGGGCGGAAGAATTTAAAATATACACACAAGGCACATAAGCCTTGGTCTGATTTCCACCAAAGCAGCACAGCACTATTAAATTATATATGAATAAAATTCAGCTAATAAAAATATTCACAAAAAATTTACCTCCTAAAAAATTTACATTGTATATTTTTCTTCCTTAATTTAGGCAGAAAATTCTTAAGTAGTAAGTTGGCATCCCTTACTATTACGTGTTAAGTACCAATGCAATCCAGCTCAAGGCTGAACAAAATTTCAAAGACATCGTTAATACCGTAATTCGTATTTAAATGCAACAGAGTTTTTTTCCATGCTGTTAAGATTCAAAATTACTTAACTGCGCGCTTTGTCGCCCGTTACGGCTCAAGGCTAAACAAAACAATAAAAATATAATAATATCGTTGTAGTAATCGCTGATACCAAGATTAGTATTTAAATGAAACGGATCTTATTTGCATGGTGTTAAGATTCAAAATTACTTAACTTATTCATAATATCTGTTTAAAAATCTGATATCGTGCATTGCTTGCCGTCCCACTCTAACTAGTAAGTATTTATATCTCACGCGCTTTGTCGCTCAATATCTGATATCGTGCATTGCTTGCTGTCCCACTCTAACTAGTAAGTGTTTATATCTCACGCGCTTTGTCGCTCAATATCTGATATCGTGCATTGCTTGCCGTCCCACTCTAACTAGTAAGTGTTTATATCTCACGCGCTTTGTCGCTCAATATCTGATATCGTGCATTGCTTGCTGTCCCACTCTAACTAGTAAGTGTTTATATCTCACGCGCTTTGTCGCTCAATATCTGATATCGTGCATTGCTTGCCGTCCCACTCTAACTAGTAAGTGTTTATATCTCACGCGCTTTGTCGCTCAATATCTGATATCGTGCATTGCTTGCTGTCCCACTCTAACTAGTAAGTGTTTATATCTCACGCGCTTTGTCGCTCAATATCTGATATCGTGCATTGCTTGCCGTCCCACTCTAACTAGTAAGTGTTTATATCTCACGCGCTTTGTCGCTCAATATCTGATATCGTGCATTGCTTGCTGTCCCACTCTAACTAGTAAGTGTTTATATCTCACGCGCTTTGTCGCTCAATATCTGATATCGTGCATTGCTTGCCGTCCCACTCTAACTAGTAAGTGTTTATATCGCTCACGCGCTTTGTCGCTCAATATCTGATATCGTGCATTGCTTGCTGTCCCACTCTAACTAGTAAGTGTTTATATCTCACGCGCTTTGTCGCTCAATATCTGATATCGTGCATTGCTTGCCGTCCCACTCTAACTAGTAAGTGTTTATATATCTCACGCGCTTTGTCGCTCGATATCTGATATCGTGCATTGCTTGCCGTCCCACTCTAACTAGTAAGTGTTTATATCTCACGCGCTTTGTCGCTCAATATCTGATATCGTGCATTGCTTGCCGTCCCACTCTAACTAGTAAGTGTTTATATCTCACGCGCTTTGTCGCTCAATATCTGATATCGTGCATTGCTTGCCGTCCCACTCTAACTAGTAAGTGTTTATATCTCACGCGCTTTGTCGCTCAATATCTGATATCGTGCATTGCTTGCCGTCCCACTCTAACTAGTAAGTGTTTATATCTCACGCGCTTTGTCGCTCAATATCTGATATCGTGCATTGCTTGCCGTCCCACTCTAACTAGTAAGTGTTTATATCTCACGCGCTTTGTCGCTCAATATCTGATATCGTGCATTGCTTGCTGTCCCACTCTAACTAGTAAGTGTTTATATCTCACGCGCTTTGTCGCTCAATATCTGATATCGTGCATTGCTTGCCGTCCCACTCTAACTAGTAAGTGTTTATATCTCACGCGCTTTGTCGCTCGATATCTGATATCGTGCATTGCTTGCCGTCCCACTCTAACTAGTAAGTATTTATATCTCACGCGCTTTGTCGCTCAATATCTGATATCGTGCATTGCTTGCTGTCCCACTCTAACTAGTGAGTATTTGTATCTCACGCGCTTTGTCTCTCGAAATCTGTTTAAAAATCAGATATTGTGGCAAACGCGTATGATATCGCCGTATCGCGATTCGTGTCGGTATAGCGAGCGAGCACGGTACATCAGATTTCGGAAATATCAGATATTGTAAAATACATAGATATTGAACGAGCCAGTAAGCGATATTGGGATATTGTACTAATATCTAGTTTTCATATCTGATACGATTTGTATCGCCCACTTCTAATTCAAATAGGCATTTTTTTTATTTGTTTTGAAAGTGAGTTGGGAGTAGTCATCTAATCTGCTTGCTATACTTATTAATTATTATTAATATTAATGCTTACTGCTTATCCGATGTAATAAATAGAATTAGAAGTGAATAAGTTTTAAAGAAAAGGGTAAAATTCTTACAGTGGGTAATTTCTCTTGTGAATATATTTGTAGTTATTACTTAAATCAAGTATTACATGTTTTATGGGAACAGATTTATAGGTCCAACTAACAGCTACGACGACGGCATTGAAGAAGTGAACGTATCAGATGATGTTCTCGTAGACTCTATGACAACGATGGCTCAAGCATCTGTTCCGCCTGATCTTATCGTGTGAGCTATATCTAAATTTCAAAACCTATTATGTTAAATCTGTTACGACATTGCAATAAAACTAAATTAGACTTCTCACTTATATCATTACACTACACATACAGTAAATTAACTTAGTATGTTGTAATTTTTATTATAGGCTCCTACTAATATAAGAAAACAATTTGCCAAATTTATACTGTCGGAAATGAACAGTTTCTGAAGATATTAATTATAGAATTATTGATAGCATTTTATTGAAAAGATTACAATTCACACCTCAGACTATTTTGGTTCAGACCTTAGACTATTTTGACATAGAGTAAAACATACGGTGTAATGTCCAGTGAGTCTAAGAGATAGCGAGCAGCAATAGAGATAAGGCAGTATAGTACTGGTTCTTACTCCCCTAATAAGGTGGGGAGGGGGGGAGGGGGGTTGCTCCAAACCCAAAATTACCAATTTAAGGCTTTTATTAGTATAGCTCAAAAATTAATATTTCCCTTTTAAAAAATCATAAGAATATATATATTTGAATCAAGTAATGACTCTTCTCTCCTCTCCACCTACTCCCCCCGCCTATATGTACTTATATGTATAAGTGACCTTCCATTATTGTATTTAATTTGCCTTTTTTGCAAATGTATTTATTAATGGCAAAATATATCAATGATGTTTAATAAAGATGACATCTCCATACTGTGTGGGGTTTAATAATTGTTGAGCATTACATTATAATGACAAATTCAAAATGTTTTTGTTATTACTTTGAAAATATGCAGGTTTCCTCTGATGTTTTCCTTCAATGCTGAGCATATTATTCAGCACTTAAAATTGCAATTAATAATTTCATTGCTGCACTTGCACTGAGAATTAAACTCGGGTTGTTCAAGTATATAAGTATAAGTAATTTAAAACAAGTGCCTAGACAGGGAGCAATCACATATATGACACACCATATATGGCATTTTTGGTTTTTTTCATTATTTTCCAGTTCTGCAGACTGCCATGGAGAAAATGATGACAGCAAACTGACCCTGGCATATGAGAACCTCTATGAAGTTCCCCGTACAATCGTAGAGAGGTTTTCAGATCATATAAAATACTTGGATATAAGTCACAATAAAATTACGTGAGTAAAATGTAGAGCACATTCCATAATTACCTATAGAATAGTGGCAGACATACAATAAACACTAGAAATAAGGATAAACTTCCTACGCCATTGTTCGTTATGGGGCAAAGGGTGCGCATGTATAATAAAATCCCACAGATATTAAGTCTGCAGCTTGATCAATTTAAATGAGAAATTAAAAGTCACCTTATGGTAAAAGCATATTATACCATTCTGGAATATCTCGACGACGCCAATGTGTGGAGTTAATACTGTTGTACTCACGTAGGATAGAATAAGACTATTATAACTGTATGTTATATTGTAAACTGATACTTTTAAAAAAGAGCAACTGTTGAGTTTCTTGCTGGTCTCATCTCAACATAAACTGCTTTCCGAACCGGTGGTACCTTACGAACCTAAATATATATTTTTTATGTAAAATTTGACGATTTATAAGAACGCGCAAGCGTCTATTTGAATATATATATTTTTGATTTGATTTGATTTAATAAACTTTCAAGTCTGAGCACATTTTGTGATCTCATATTGTCATGAAGCTTTTAAACTTTCAATTCCTTAAGCCCATATCATACGAGTACTATCCACTTTTCATAAAGCTTATTGGGCAGGTGGGGAGCCTAGTCAGGAAACTCACATAACAAAGTGGTTTTTGCAAGTAATCAGAAGTAGAAAATCGTCAGTGATGCGAAGACAAGTGAAACATCTTTCCTAGCCACGATGCACAGTTTCACTTAGGTGTTATTCTGATGTATAAGTTATATTAAAAAAGTTTCATTAAACTCTATTCAGTATTTTTTGTGTGAAAGATAAATCCATACATACACACTTTCGTGTTTATAATATTATATGACTAAGGAAGTTATTTAAATTTTAATAATAGTGTTAATGTCTATGTTTTAGCAATTTGGATGCAGTTGTTCATTTTAAACATTTGACATCTCTGATAGCTGACGCAAATCCGATCACAGAACAATGTGTGCTACCACCATTACCGAAACTACAGTTGTTGTGGTAAAGTGTGCAATCCTAAGTTAGCTAAATTACTTTTAGTGTTTAATCCTTATTTCCAACACTATTCAAGTAATGTTAAGTTCATTATTATTTTATGCTATTCTAAACGCTTGCATTCCAGGCTGAACCACTGTAAAATATCATCACTTTACCCATGGGTGGGAAAATTAAAGGAATCATGCCCCAATTTAGAGTATGTTAGTCTCATGGGTAACCCTGCAGCACCAAGTTATTTTAATGGTGGAACATTCTATGAATATTTGCAGTACAGGTAGGCAAAGGTTTCATACATTAACCCATTTCACACACACAAGTCGTCTACACTTCCCTAGCAGTTGGGCAGGTGAAGGTAAGGGGGGCGTCGGGGAATCGAACCCCAAAACCCGTGCATTGCCTCAAGGGGCGCAACGTCCCCCGGGAAATATGGCCTACATATCGGCTCGGACAGGATAGCGATAATACGGTTACGTCATCCTATTTATTTATTTATACTTTATTGTACAAAAAAATATAAAGCAAATTACAAATTAATGTAATAGGAAGTACAATAGGCAGTCCTATATGATGGTTGAAAGTGCCCTTAATACAAAAATGAGTAAATCGTTTATTGTTTACATTCCACATTGCATAATTATGTTAATCATAGTGTCAAATGTAAACTAACATGACGATCTCTTCCGTGCCTCTGTTAATTGAGTTGTTACGTAAACAAATAAATTCGTCGCCATAGCAACGACAAAATTGTATCTTAGTAAATATCATAGACAACTGGGATACTTCGAAAAATCATTTACTAGGTAACTTGTAAAGATATATGTCACAATACAAACTTCATTTAAATTGAATATAGTATTTCAAATTGTATAAAAATACAATCGCCTATTTTTTTCTACTACAGATTATTAAAGTTTATCATCAACTATATAACTTGTGTCAATTATTAATTGGATGTTTGATACTAATATTATAGGAAATTGTATTAGAAACTCGTTACGGCGATGACGCGTATATATATATATATATTACATAATTATGTATCTGAATTATAAATTTAAAATCAAAATTTCTTAATAAATTATTTATAAACTATTATTAACTATTTTAAAGATTTTCTTTACCACGTGTAAAAGTTACACACATTAATTTTTATACATTGTAGTGTTTCTATTACGGAATTACTTAATTAAATTAAAAATAAATTTACAACGCTACACGCTCAATATAATTTCACAGGACTTGTACATTTTAGGCTTTTCATAATTTCCAAGTTCCCTTCACTGACGCACTTGGACGATAGGAGAGTCACTGAAGATGAGAAGGCAGAGGCGCATCGTTTGTACAAGAGGCCACTGGTGGAGAGAATAGTGAGCCCCGGGCCCGGAGGTCTATCCCAGCTCATGCACAGCTCCGTCTCATGGAACGCCTTTCAGACTAAAATAAGCTCATTGTGGACACGGGATAAGCAGGGCACAAAAAATTTACTCATCTAAATTTTCTGACATGATATTGAACATGATAATATTTTTTTTTTTGAAATAAATATTTTAGGACACATTTTTTACACAAAATTCTCTAGTCCCAAACTAAGCAAAGCTTGTACTATGGGTACTAGAAAACTGATAAACATACATAAACATACTTTTCTTTTGTAAATAAATACATGTTATACATATATTAACACCCAAACACTAGAAAAATACTATGTTCATCACACAACATTTATCCAGTAGTGGGGATCGAACCCACACCCTCTGGCGCAGGAGGCAGGTACACTACCCACAACGCCATTCGGGTCGTCATGATGATTCACGATGATGTTTAATAATATAGATGACGCATGTCCATACTGCGTGGCGTTTCAAAATTGTTCCGCTTTCCATTATATGACATATATAAGTGAATATGATAGATGATATAGAACGTATGGTACGGAAAGAGATAGCAGTCTATAGACTTACACCAATTGGTGTAATTTGTGAGTGTCACAGTTTCGTTGGGCTAGTATCATCTGTTGTATATAATATCATTAATGATTCTAATTATAGAAATTAGCAGACGAATAATTTGTCATTTCGACGTTTAAATGACTTTTAATCATTATATTTTAAAGTTGATTATAAATAATATCTAACGATTGTAGCCATTTAAATTTTCGGAACATTTTTGTGTCCTATTGAGGCATACCATTACCACTTTGAAAATAAAATAAATTTTAACTGTTGCTTATGAAGTTAGAATTTTGCATTTTACCTAGTTAAGAATTTTGGATAGTTTGTTATTAAAGTGAAATAAATCTGTGGTTGCTACTTATGGCCAAATACAGAAACTGCGCTATACCACATTCCAAAATTCATCAAGAAACAATTATACCCTTTTTAAGTTTAGCCATTGTTGTTTGTTGGCCTCTTGCCCTTTTTTGGCTGTCAAACATAAACATATAATGTTTATTGTTAAAAGTTTTGGTGCTAAGATTGTTTTATTGTTTTGTTTTTTATTGTTTGATTTTTTTAATCTTTAGTGACATTGCATTAGAGTTTCTACTTTGATGTTGAATTTTAGCATTAAAAAATTTATTATTGTGAACATCGTAGGAAAGTTCAATTGAGTAACAATGTCTTTTGATAATATACTTGTCAAGATTATATACTTGACAAGTATAAATCAAAGGACCATTGTTTTTTGTAGGTACATATCTACGATGTTTGCTAATAATTTATTTAATGTTTTATCATAATTATGTCTTCGAGTAATAATATCTGTCAAAGTCGGGCCTTTTCGTGAGATTTTCGTGAAAAAAAAAAAAAAGATTTTAACAAATGTAGATCAAGATTGAGATTAACTGTACAATAATTTTTCAAATTAAGTAGTCATCGAATTGTTCTAATGTCAATTGATAATTATTGTTTTCGTTAGAATGTTTTTTATTAAAACCAATAGATTGTATATAATAAGTGATCCCCAGACATTCTAATGTAAGGGCTCTAAAGAAATTTCTTTTTGTACCTGAATTATGTAAAAAGAAATGGTATTAAAAGGATCGCTTATCAACGGCTACGCTTTCGTCATTCACCTACCAATGTTATTGCGGCAAAACGGGCAAAATGACGCAATGTCAGTTTGGTTTTTAAAAAATAATATAAATTATTTCTATTATTACCGTAATCGCCATTGTCGACACATTTTGCATAATGCAGGTTCATAAATATGTATAAATAAACGCATCGATTAGATAATAACGTAAAGCGTGTCGTATCTCTTTGAAATGTATCAATATTCTCTAAGTAAAATGTCAATCGATTTATCGATGTGTGACAAATGCGTAATGTAAATATTAGTTAATGCAGTGATATAATCACAGACAATAATTTTAAAACATCTGGTTGTAATGTTTGGCAATAATTCGTTTAAATAAAACCATGTTTAAATGTTACTTCGTTTTATTTAATAGAAAAAATAACAACAGCTAAAAATTTCGACAATATAATTCGAACCTGTTACGTATGCTAATAAGCACTGGACTTAAAGATATAAATTTGGTGACATTCGAGATATAATTTATAACATTCTCTAAAAATAAATACATTTTCTTATATCTAACAGTACATACCTAGTTTAAAATTTTAATTAATTGAGCAGTTATAGGAATTCTTCATTTCTGACTTTTATTTGATTAATTTTATAAAGTGTATTTAAATGAGATTAGAGATTAAATTGACAAAAATCAGAAGAAACTAAACATTCTTGTGAAATCTCAAAAAAAAAAAAAACGTTTAAACACTTAAAATAATATTTAATTCCGTGATTTTATTTCCTTTCGTAAAATTCGTGATATATAATACAATAGATTTTAGTCTTTGCAACATATAGCTAGAAGATTTGATCTTAAAGACGGCAAGATAGAATCTCAATAAGTTTTGCCTATTTGAAAACTTTCGTAAATGCGAATATCGCATAAGGCATTAAACAAATATAAGTGAGGAATGAATAATGGTTTTTTTATGTGGATATGGTAAGCGAGCTGGTGGTTCTGATAAGTGATATCCACCGCCCATGGAAATTTACAACACCCGTAGGGTTTTTTTAATTAGTTTAACGGCAACACCCGTAGGGTTGCAGATGCGTTGCGAACTTTTAATGAAGTGGGCCCCGGCTACCTCACTCACCAGACGAAAGCGAAGAGTATAATACTTTCCCTTCACGCTGGTGTTCTGTGAGGTCGTGATACTTTCCCAGACGGACCTGCCCATTCGTGCAACTGTAAACTGTTGCTTGGAGGGCCACTCAACCTACCACCGTTAAAAAACGGTTAAATAATTCTTTTCACATTAGCATATTATTCCAAGGCTTATCGCTTAATAATCTTACCAAGAAATAACAATTATTCATAAACAAATGAATGTACATAACATTAATCGTACAACTCAAGTATCGGCCTCTTCCAAGCCGTCAAATCAACAAAAGGTATGGCGTCGTAGTCTGAACAGCTGTGTTTTGGATTCTGTGCCGATTCCATCTCGAAAGCTTTCTTCTGCACGTAATCAACTCCGTCCGTGTTGTCGCAGATAAGTCGCGCCATAGACGCCTTTTTTATTTCTCTCATTTGTTCTGCAAGCAAAAGGGCGGGAAATTGTATTATTTATCTGTGATATGCGACCAAAATCCGCTCAAGCAGCCTACAGTTTAAGTCCCGGTGCCGATACCAATGAATTTGTTAACTAAGTGCTCATTTACCACGTTACTCGTCGTGTCTCTAGATAATGTTGCAACAAAAATATAGATTATACACGACAATGATATCTCGATTTAGTTGACTCACCAGGTGTAAACGAATGGGGCATTTCGCCGTTGTCATAGAAAAATCTGTCTCCAATTCTCGTACGATAAAATTGTTCGGCGACTATGCACTGGAAGGTCTGGCCAAGGATTGAACCATGGACCGTCTTCTCCATGGTCCCGCCCACGAACAAGTCTATGTCGTCAACACACTCATAGATTTTGGAAAGTGCATTAATGCGCTGAAATTGCAAGGTATACTTTAAAAGAGGTTGTGTGTTTAAAAATATTGAAGAGAACCCAGTTGTAAAAATTGCGAGTAATATTCCTTTCAACGTAGAAAGAAATTTAATTTAATATTTAAGTAGTTGGTGATGTACGTTTCATTTGTTACTTTTTAAAACTTTCAATGAGAACAGAGAAATAATGTCGATTTTTTTTATCATAGGTTTATACTCACGTCTTGGGGTATTTCACCGGATAGGTCTTGGAAACTTTTTGCTCTTTTTAAACCGCAAGTCTCTCTAAAACAAAGATGCTCATCGTTAAAATTTTTTATACAAATATATATTTTTTTTCAGTTCTTTAAGGCGAAGAAAAATGAATTAAAGAAAATTAATATCTATTTTTTTTATGTGAAAAGTTGTCAAACGAGCAGACACGAAGTTCACCTGATGTTAAGTGAATACCACCGCCCATGGACATCTGCCACACCCGAGGATTACAGATGCATTCACAACCTTTTGAAAATTGGGCTCCAGCTACATCACTCACGTTAGTCTTCCGTAAGGTCCTGGTATTTACCCGGATGAGCCTGCCCGTTCGTGCAACAGCTGAGACTGCTTCGTGGCCCTACCACCATCTACATGACATGTGTAGTACATGATTTCAATTCAAATTGCAATTTTTGTTGTTTTGCATAACTCGCACTTTCACCCTGGCCGTTGAAAATCGGAATTACAACCTATATCAAACCTCAAAATTTAAAAGTAAAAGGCGCATTAGCCTTGTAAAGTGACACCAATGTTGCCCGTTCTTGAAACTTGAAAGTGGATAGCATTTTCTATTCCTCTCACTCCTGTTGAGGTTAAAAGACAGCAGAGTTCAAATTTAAGTTATTTTTAAGTTATTTCGTCCTTTAACAGGATTTAAGTTATTTCGTCGACTTTTACATGGATACCTGTTGCCTCTAACTATGTACATGTCTCTTGAATAATGTTGGCACATAATGTAGTCTACTCGGTCAATAAGGATGGAGACATGTACATATATCGATCTGTTCAGTTGATACCTATTTGGTCGTATCATATCAAAGAAAGCAATTAATGTATATTTGAATAGGACCGAATTTGTGAACCAGTGACGTGATATAATTAATACAAGAATGTATTTAGTTTTTTCGACTTGACATTCACGAAATGTCAGTTCTAATTTTTTTATGAGAGAACTTGTTCGCCTTGTACCAAATAATTATACCAACGCCTGGGAACACCCACATAAGAGTAGAATTACGCTGCCCGTGTCAACCTTTAAGGCGAACGGATTTCGGTCACCTATCAATACTACTTCGCCCCAGTCTTCTGTACCGATACATGGAAAATGAAGAGAGAAAACGGTGTAGTTTGAACCAAACACCACCTGTAGTCGTTGTAAGAGGCTAGGCCGTGATCCCGGCCCCTCTGGATGTCCATAGCGACGAGGTCCATGCCCCAATCGTTCCTCAGCTTGAACAGCAAGTTGGTGATCTCCCTTGAGCAGTGGGGGTCTGACTCGGCGGCGCTCTGCATCACGATGCCGCGCAATAAGTCGTCGAAAGCCTCCGGAGAGGACTCGACCAGCGCCGGGCTGAAATAGTGGTCGCTGAGTCTGTGGGAAAATTGCGCAAATCACTATTTATATGGATGAACATTTAAAAAAAATAGGTTTTATAACCCAAACGACGCCCCAATTGGCGCAGTGGGTAATGAACCTATCTTTTGAGCTAGAGGGTGTGGGTTCGATCGATGAGAGATGCTTTCCCGGTGTCTGCATATTAATATATGCATAATATGTATTTATTTACAAAAGAAAAATATGTTGAAGTATGTTTATCAGTTATCTAGTACCCGTAGTACAAGCGTTGCTTAGTTTGAGACTAATGTGGCCTAAAATATTCATTTATTATTTTTATTAATGTGATATTTTGTGAATTTTTATCAATTTAATAGAAAAAAGCAAGGCGAATCTCAAACAACCCCTTTTTAGTTAAAGTAGTTCTGTATCGTCGAGTGCAAAAATCGATTTAATCTTTATAGCTATAAAATAACTAAAAAGAACTGTACATACAAACCGAAGCACGTAGCTGTACCGTCGTTGTTCACAACGGTACAGCTACGTGCATTGGAAACTAGAAAGAAAACAATTTTGACAGCGAGACCGAAAGGGTAATACTCACCTTTCAGTTCCACATGTAGCGCGTCTGATAAAAATTTACTGAGAAATGATATGGACGAGCTTCAGAAATGCAAAGTTTCACGCAATCCACATAAACGAACTGTAACATTTAACGAAACCACTGTACTCACTTGTACATGTAAGCGCAGTGGTAGGTGGAGGGGCAAGTGAGGAAAGAGTCCGGGACAATCGAGTGCAGCGAGCGGAAAGCGGCCGCGAAGGATCCTACCACGGCAGGATTGACGTCCGGGTTGTAGTCGCGACTGTACAGCGTCGTCGGCGTGATCCGATAGTACCGGAGATAGCTCTCGCCTGCGGTAAATTATGTGCATTTGTGAACAAAAGCATTACAAATTTGTAAATAAAATATTATTTGCTTATCTTTACTTCAATATATATTGCAAATAGTATTGCTCCTCACAGAGCTTTTGGCATAGACTTTTTTAAATGCAATTCCAACTGAGAATTTCTGGGTACCTTCATGTAAAATTCAAAAAGAATATAATAAAGAGGCAAAATTTGGTTTTTTGTTCGTTTGTTTGTTACGATTTAACGAAAAAACTACACTACTGATTTTAATTTTTTTTCTCTATTGTAATGCTACATATTTATTATATAATTTCGGCGACTTCTTACCGAAATTCAACGGCAGCCACTCCTGGTAAGTGATGTGCTGGATTTCCGCGATGACGATCTTCCTCGCCTCTTGGAATATCTTCTCGTCGGTCCAAAGGGGGTTGAGCGAGCCCAGGGTGTCAGCAACCCTGTTGTGCTCCCGCAGTAGCAACGTATGGATTACCGCTAGCGTCGGTGTCTGGTTGACTCTACGATCCCCTGGTGGACAACGCGAAAGAGACTGATTTAAAAGACTTGTCTTCCACGTTTTGCCCTCAACGTTGCATTTGCACTACTTATGAATACGCGAGTTAAATTAGTACTTAAGATTCCAGTCAACAATTCGGGGAGTCGAACTTTGGTTACTCGAGTCCACTACATTAAAAGTGAGCGCCCAGCCACTAAGGTCTCACGGCTCTTTTACAACACAATAGTTACCTTATAAACAATGAGATACTATCTGCTCTGTTATTATCAAATATATATGATACAGAACGACAATAAATAGGAAATGTAATAAAAAACTGCTGTTTACGTCACAATAATGTGTGTAAGAAATAAGGCTCGGATAATACCGCATTAAAACGGTAACCAAAAACACTAAAAGCTTACCCTAACTAACTCATTAGTAAGTATTGTTGTTACGAGACTCTATTTAATTGTACTTGGATATAGCATTGGCGTTTATCACTCACCGGCAAGGTAGCATGGATCGGAGGAGTTCCTCAAATCGCATGTTTTCGGATCACCCAACGGCAGGAAACCTCGTTTGCATCCGTTCTTCGTCTTCTCCTTTAGTCGACCGCCGCTTTTCTCCCTCAGCTTGGATGCCAGGGCCGGATCTGACCCGTAGATTGGTGAACCATCCAGGAAACTCGTCACGGTATTCATCTGGTCATTGGTAGCAGTTGTTTATTTAAAAAATTTTTACGTCAAGTCTAACTATTTTATATATTTCATTGCGTTTTGAATTTGATATTCCACTTCTTTGTTTTGGTCGCCTTGGAGCGCTGAGGTCCAAGGAGTAGACTAAGGACTTTTCTTGGAAATTCAATCTAATCAAACTGATTTTTTTTTTTGAATTATGATATTTCAATAGCCTTGTGAAACTAAAGGAATAATAAACATCCTAACTTCAATAGGACACAGAAGTTGATTATATATTATAGAAACCCGTTGTTAGGAAGGCTATTTTATTAGTGGCACAAACTTTCCTGGCTTCTATGGGACTTGGAACTATCACGAAACATGGCTTAACCAACATAAGGACTAATCCTTTACACTCCGCGGCCGAAAGTGATGAGCGGCGGATCCAGGACCCACAAATAAGGCCCGTTGTAAGGAAGGCTTGCTTCTTGGCATCGCCGGCTCTCCTGGCTCCCCAGGACTAGGAACTACCACAAAAGACCCAACCAACATAAGGATCGTCGAGGGCTCACCTGTTCCGCGTAGCCGAGGCCGCAGTCGTCCCTCGGCGTGGTGACGCTGCGGACGAAGTTGAGGCAACGCACCCCATGATGCCGGTAGAAGGGATCGCCCTCGGGGACACAGATCGGTATGCACTTGTCGTTCAACCACTCCGGCGGTAACACGTCCCGACCGTTGCCGAAGCAGCACTGGATGCCGCCCTCGTCTGTACGTGTTCGCGTAAATTTATCTATAAAACTTTACAAACGGTAGTTTGTATAGAGTTATAGATAATATATTTTTTTGCCCTACTTAACGAAATTCTACTCGACTCTGTTCAAAGTAAAGTAAAAAGTAAAGTATCAGCTGATATACGTCCCACTGCTGAGCAAAGGCCACCTCTGTACAGAGGGTATAAGGGCATAGTCCACCACGTGACTGCGGATTGGTGGACTTCACATATCTTCGAAATATGTTTTTTGTTATTATTTCGAAAATATGCAGATAAATATTTGTTGTTTGGCCAACTGTTTACAGTCTATTCCTGTTTTTAAATCTCCTCATAATGTATGATTTTTATTGCTTTTGTAATAAAATAAAAAAAAAACATTAAAAAAATTCAACGACCTTAATATAAAAGAATAAAAATTTTACCGTTGACTTCCATCGCTTGGGAGAGCAGGTCGTGGGTCACGAATTGTCCCCACTGCATGTTCATGTAGGTGAGGGTCCGGCTGGGTATGGGACGGTCAGCGAAGAGTTCGGTGGACAACAGCCTCGCGTTCGGCAGCTGGCCTCCGCTCTTGGCAAGGGGCATTGCATATATACCTGAAAATTTAACAAAAGTATTTAATAACTGGTCTACCCGTTCGAAATTATCGCCCGATTCCACGATCCCGATTTTGTTACGATCTGTAGCTGAATCGTAAATAAATAATGTGTAAATCAGTATTTATCGATCAAAAGGATCTTATTTTAAAAAACAACGTTTCTCAATCTACTTCGCTATCTTTCATTTAAGCAAATTGTCAATAGGCGGTATTATCAGCAAGTAACGACAGATTTTTTTAATGATAACATTAAATTTATTCTACTTGTCTATTCTTCGTCTATAAGGGGAAACTAAAGCTTTAAAACTGCATTACAATCATTAATTTTCACGGAGAACTATGGATGTTATGGCATACTGACAAAAACACATTCTTTCAGTCTTTTGCAAATTAACTTTTACCTTGTTTGAAACTTTTGAAAACTCCATATATATATATTTATATCATATGTCGATTATTATCATCATATTATTATCATCGTCATCATCTCCCTTATCCCGCCTCTGGTATTGACAACTGGACACCTGACGTCAACGTCATTTGGAATATACACCAAGAGCCGGAATAGGGTTTGGATTACTAATATTTGTAGCATGAAGGATTCGGACCCATGACAGCAGAAGGTGCTGCATTGCTCATACCTAACTACAATAGTAGAATTCAAAGTCTACTAGCCTAAGCTAAAACAGCTTGTTCCAAAATCATCGGCGTTATATACGAGGCACTTACCATCGCTGTACCGTGGCGTCGCAATCCTGGAGAAGGCGACACCAGCTCGTCCCCAGCCCGGGTGTTTCTCGTTGTTCGAGGTGCCGTCGATGCTACGGTACTTGGATTTGCAGTAGGGGATCTTGACGGGCTTGCAGTAAGCTATATCGGTCACCTTACACCCTTGGTCCTCCAGGAGAGCCATGAATGTGTCGGGGCTGATTTCACCGCTGATAAGGAAACAATACATTTAAGTATTTCAACATGGATGCTTTACAGAGCGATGGTCACCTTCCAACTGCCAGTGAATCTCATTCCGAACTGGTAGCGAGATTAATGAATGTCGTTAAGTGAGATTCAGACAATTGATTTAAATTCTCAGTTCCATTTTTTGTTTATGTGATAAAAACAGAGATTACACCTCAATCCCTAGCTCCTTAAATAAATAGGTCGAAGAAACGATTATTCCATGCCTTGCAATTTGATGAAAATTATGAACATCATTTGATTCATTCACACGATCACCATGTTTCACGTTTAAGAGACGCGCCAACTTTTCTTCTTCTTTTTATCTTTTCGCTTGCGTGAACTTCGAACATAAAGTTCCACTAGATGAAGTGATGACCTGTGCAAATGTGCAGGAAGTCGACGGATGCAGGTGGCTCAGGACCGTGCTTATGAAATTATGTCATTACTATGTAAATTTTTAAGTTTTTTATAGTGCTAATCTCTGCACTTAAGATTGAACATTAAAACATAGTAGAAAAAGTACGAAAAGAGAAAAAAGGCGTTAAGATTTTCGTCGCTGTGCCTATCAGCCGTTTAGCTCAGTGGCTAGAGCGTCAGGCCACGAATGCCGAAGACGTTTTGATTCCCACAGCGGCGACAATCTTTTCGTACTTTTTCTACATGTTTTAATTACTATGTAATTCCAAAATATCGCAGTTTTAGCTATATCTGGAGCAGACAGAAGGTCAATGATGTTTTAGATAGATAGAATTGTTCAGTTTTAAAAATTTTCTGGCTTTCTGGACGGCTTTACAGTAATCAAAAAAAATTCAATCCCTTCAATACTTTCAGAGGTGACCAAACAAAAGGACAAGGCTTTTTACACTGTGATCATAGATGTAAGAATTAAGAAGAAAGAAAGAAAGAAGGATGATTGAGAAACACCTTGAGCAAACTTTCATCTGCAACAGCTTCGTCGCCGTCAGCAGCTCGTGTGACACTTCGGCGGCCTTCTTAGCCTCCGGTGACAGCTTTGCGGAGAAGAAGTGGAACAGCGCTGGCGAGGAGGCGTCCAAGCATACGCCTCCTCTCGCGAGCATGTTGGCGCGCTTGCTCGCTGCGCGGGAAAGTTCCCGCCCGCTCTTGAGGCTCTCCCTAATCATGTCTTTCGTGATCAATCCCCCCTCCTCCTTTAACGATTCTGGAATAAAGATAATAAATATTAACGTGTTTTTATGACGACGAAATTTATGAAAGAAAACAAAATGGGTTATTATAATGTAAAAGTATATGTATAATAAAGTATAAAATAAGTATGGTAATGTTGATCTATCCCAAGCTGTTTGTAAAAAAAATTATATGCAATATTTTTATGTAATATTAATGTTTTAAAAAAAAAGAAGACACCTACGAAGTTACGTTCACCTGTTTCTTCTCCGTTAGAGGAACCAAATTACGAATAATAGTAGATTTAAAAAAAAATACTATTGATAGATGAAATGTATGTCTAATGATTTGTTGAATAACTTTATTTGATTTGATTTGGTTTGAACTTTTAAGTTTTCGTATGTACCCATCAAAAATGTTTAAATAAAAAGAATTAAGAGTTTCATTCTTCCGTTGCATTATTGTAAATGTCATTTTGCAATTTTTTCACTTAGAAGGATTTTTTATTTACTTCTGGTGTCATTTTTAAAATAATTGAATAGAAAAAAGGAAAACTGTGGGTGTTTTAACGTTGATGAAATTGATGCGCAAATCAGACTGGCATGAACTTGGGACAAAATATTGCAGAAGTACTTAGATGTTTTTCATTTAAAAAGTAAAAGTTAAGCTCTAAGCTAAGGAGGAACTAAATAAGTTTACTTTGGCGGTCATCTTTTTTTAGCAATTTCTAATATTTGTTGAGAATAATGAGCTTTCTTCACCTTAAACACCTAATAATTTCGTTCTCAATCTAAACCTCTCTTAATAACATTTTAAGACACTTGAAAGCAGCCCTGTACATGTCCCACTGCTGGGCAAAGGCCTCCTCTGTACATAGGGTATCAGGGCATAGTCCACCACGCGGCCCCACTGCGGATTGGTGGACTTTACATATCTTCGAAATATTTGAAATATTTTCGTATTCGAAATATGCAAAAAAATTCGAAATATAAAAAATTCATATTTCGATAATATGCAAGTTTCCTCACGATGTTTTCCTTCAACGCAGAGCACGTGATAAGTCAGCACTTAAAATTAACAATTTCATTGGTGCCGGCACCGGGGATCGAACGCAGGGTACTCGAGTATATTGAATTAAAGGCGAGCGCCCGGACACTGAGCTATCACGGCACAGATTTTTGTTAAGGAATGTGTAAATAATGTTTTCATATAATATTGTTGTGAACACAGCACGTGGCTGTAACATTTCTTATTTTTTATCTAACAAATTAGACTTGAAATGGCTTCAGCACCTTATTCGGCACCGGGAGTCGAGGGCTCAATTCCCACAGGAAAGAATTTATACGACCGCTATTTTTATTGTTGTAATAATATTATTTAATTTGTAGAAAAAGTACGAAAAGATTGTCGCCGCTGTGGGAATCGATTCGGTATTCAACTCCCATACAACAGACACGCTTTTTTGCCGCTTTTACAGATAATGGTACGGAACCCTTCGTGCACGAGTCCGACTCGCACTTGGCTGGTTTTTTAACTTTTTTTTTAATTTAATTACGGTCGTACATTCCCGAGCCGGAATTAAACAAGACGCGCAGCGCTAAAGCCCATAGCTAAACAAATATTACAAAGCTATAACAGAGTATACATAATCCTAGCTTTTCTTAAATCATGTTAAATTAAAGGTAGATAATTATTTTAAAACGTGCATGTAATTTTTCAAATTCAATTTAAACGATAGAGAACTATAAAGAAAAATCACAAATATCCGATTCAGAGCACCCCGGCTTCATGTGGTCTTGTGGTCCTACCACAACTACAGAGTAGTTTTACTACAGTAAACACACAAAAAAACTTACCTAATGAAATTGGGGTCAGTAACTCTTTAACTATCGAAGTGGCGCTGGCTAACACTGGACAGACGTCAGAAATCAGATCCTCCAGCAGAAACTCCCAGCCTGTGTTAAAACAGCCACTGACACTTGACACAAAAAAATAAACGATCACCGAAATCACTAGAACGTTTCTACTGCCCCGGAACACGAATACAGAACCCATATTTGATGTTGGTAATTTTACCACTTTACTTTACAAAAAATCCTTTGTCTAAATCCATACATTCAATGCAACATAATTTTTACTCTCGCTTAAATATAATTAGTGATAAAAAAATAAGCAGGCTTTAATATATTTTTTAATAGTGACGTACGAGCACAGCAAAATTTGACCACAAAATAAAAATAAATCGGTACGGCGAAACACAATTACTTATCGTGTCACGTCCCTACTGACGTAATTATTTCAAACAATAGGGCAATATTCAATTCCTTTATTACAAAAACTTTATCGAATGATTGTTGCGATATCAAAAATATAGTCTTGCATTAAATCGTACTATTTTTTTGTTTCGTTTTGATGGGAGACCTTTTCTGAATTCATATTGACGACTTCAGTTCTACATTAATGATTCCGTCGGCATTTTGAACAACGCTATTATAGAGTATCCCATGCCTGTTAGACAAGTTTAAAAGGATAGTTGGGGGTAAACGAGTAATCAGTGGTGCCCGATTGACCATTGGAATGCACACAGACATAGCAACACGGGGTGTACCAGTGCTGCTGCGGAGAGGAGGGACAGCAAATTACCAACCCGACACAAATGCGAACGTCAACAAGCGTCGCCCGCGAAACGTCCTCATCGACCCGGTCGAGGAAGGGGACTTAGATACGTCGGACCCACCGCCGGGGGTCCCGACGGATAACACTACACCCACAGTTAGTGCAACAACAAACACACTAGTTCGCCCACGCCTCCGAGCACGGCGAGACCAATACAACGCGTACACAAGGTACACCCGCGTTCCACGGCGGTTCTCACCGCCCCCAGCCACCGATTAGCTAATTGCGCAGTCGACGGCCATCGGGGTTTCGGTCCGAACCGCGACCTCGATGGCCCTTAGAAGTTACACCATAGTTAAACACACGCGCCCACAGCGGAGGGCCCAAACCCGTGGGTTCTGGCTAGCCCACCGGTTCTACGTCAGATTAAGCTTTAATAGTGTCGGGATTGAAAGCAAAAACATCAGTTAATACAAGAAAGAAGAGGGGATACCGATACATCCAGTGGATATCCCTAAGCCCCATCACATCCCATTTAGCGTGGACTGTGACCCAACATAAGAATATCTTTTTAACCGACTTCAAAAAAGGGGGAAGTGTCTCAATTCGACCGTATATATTTTTATTTTTTTTTATGTGTTTTCGCGGATAACTTCGTCGTTTATGAGCCGATTTTGATGATTCTTTTTTGTCGGAAAGGAGATATGCCAAGGGTGGTACCATGATAAGGAAACCCGGATCTGACGATGGCATCCCAGAGAAATCGAGGGCAATCATCGAATGTTATAGGTATTAAAATGTTTTTAATTTTCTGATTGAAGTCGGTTTTTTTTTTGTTAAAATTATTCTTGTTAAAAACATACTCTGATACCAAATAACCAATAACCATAACTGTCATTTCATGTTCAACATCGAGTTACAGCGCATTGGGGTTGAGATATGATAGTATCTGACCCGCGCGAAATTTCCTCACAGTACCGTTATCAGTCACCGAATTGTTATATAATTAGGTGTAAATATACATATTTAACATATCAGTTACATAATATAATAATGGTTACATTTGGCTTAATAATTGTTACAGTTGGCTTCATTCTATTTCTTTACCATGAATTAAATACATGCACAAATTTTTAAGGGACTTTTTTTTTGAAAATCTTAACTTTATTCTACTTGTCCACATATTCGTCAATAGCAGCAAACATGCTTTAAAGTGGTGTTTGAATAATTAAATTTGGTGATGAATTATAGAAGTAACGGCGTACCAAAAGAAAACATTTTTGAGAAACAACACAACTACAGATTAATATATAAAGAAAGTTAATAAGTAATTCACTAAAAAGTCTCAGTTAATGTAAGCTTTACGCAGAATCAGTTAAATAAAACGACAAAAACTATTAAAAATAACATTTATTCGAAATTCAAATATAAAGAAAATCCAGGAAATTTTGTCCTTTCAAAATAATAACCACCATCATTATTAAAAATACTTAAATTCTAAAATAGCAACAAAACTGCAGTCTGACAGTGCAAGTACAGCAATGTGATTGAGCTGTTATATTTAAAAAGTAACAATTTTGATTAGATATAATCAGTTTTTGTATTTAAAAACCTTTTTACTTTAATACCAAAACTGATTACCCTTTTTTCAGCTTCTACGTTATATTCTTACAGTTAGTACTTGTAACAGAAAGTTTGCGTACCGAAATTAATGTAACAAGACGTAGCCCATAGGCGGAAATAAAATCGATCAGTTCCAGTTTTGAGACTATTAAAGTTGAAGTCTTGGATGTTAAGGTTTTACATAAACCTACAAATACATTACTGTGATTATTTATTTTTTGAAAATAACCAAGTCACTATAAAAAATCAAACGTATTTCATATTTTTTACCGCTTCACATAATAGATATACAGCGTGTCTTTACCATCGCGACAATAAATGAACACAAGTCTAACGCTACTTGCCAATAATCATAAAAAAATAAATACGTTACAAAAATTCATAATTAAAAAAAAATTTTTCAAACAAACTAATTAAGTAAAAAAGAAACAAAATTTGTAACACCTATACAACTACAAATAATGATCCATACATTCAGAGACTTTTTCATTCGTTGCCACAGCGTCGCATTACAAGCCTCTCCTTCTAACAGTATGTTTTGTCTCTTTTAAATTCATTCAACCCATTCATAATATGCTTTGTGACCTTTACAAATGAACTTTACGTTACAGTTTTATACGTAAGGATGTTCTAAAATTGTTTGTTTTGCAAAATTTAATAACTCTGTAAATATTGATTTTTAAAGAATGTAAATTTTTGACACAATTTTAAAAAGTTATCCTCTATATGTGTGTTCATTTATTGTCGCGTTGGTAACAACACGCTGTATACCATTTATTTTAATATTAAATTGTAAGCATGGTCCCCACATTACATAATATACAAATATCTATAATATAATTTAAACGAAATTCTCAGTGCGTACATCATATAGAAATACATATTATTTTGATCATTTGTAAATTTTTTATTTACTCTGCACAATTTGTACTAGTAAGATTAAACAATAAAAAGTACTATAGACATAGCACGTGCATTGATAAACTTCCAACAATAAAATACAGTCGCACCCTATTTTATATTATTTTATTTTATATTATTTATAAGTAATACAAAATTTTCGAGAAAACGCCACAACAAAAAACTACAGGTACCTTACTGAAGTGCTTATCTGACGTGTGTATATTATAATCACAATAATTTAAATTTGGTCTCGAATCAATTCAATTCCGAGAAACTAATGTTTTTTAAAGTTCTATATTAATTACATTCATTATAAAGCTATATAACACATTGATAACATTGTTATATACACAAGTGCAGCCTTTTGTTAAAAACACTACTTTGTTGATAACGTACTAATTAATTATTGTGATGACGCATTTTTCTAAACAATCGAAATTATCTAGACTTGTTGCCAACTATTATCCCTTACATTTATGTTTTTCGACGTGCTTCGAAAATGTTATGATACGTTCATAAATCAAAATGCTTTCGAAGAGAGAAAGTTTAGCTTTTAAAAATTGATACTATATCTTTTATTATGTGAGTATAACGAAAAAAATGAATAGCAACAATTTTAACATAGTAGTGATTGTGAGTGAATTCTCAAAATATTTTTTTACTGCTGAAAATCATATAAATTTTCGATTTAAAAAAAGTAAACTCGAAACACGGCAGGCAGAAATAATACTATTTAATTTATATTGTTTATTTTTGAAACGATGTAGGTATGTATCAGTTTTTTTTTTTTTTTTTTTTACTTTATTGTACACAATTAAAATACAGACAATCGGAACAAATGACAAAAACATGTACAAAGGCGAGCTTAACCCTAAAAAGAGTTCTCTTCCAGCAGACCCTTGAGAACACGAAGCCATAATACTATATAATTAGGTGAAGGTGTGTACATTATTAAAAAAAATTACCAGAGTATATATATATATATATATATATTGATACAATATATATATATATATATATATATATATATTGTTATATAGATAGCTACATATAAATTTATATGTAATAATAAAAAGACATATATACAAAGTTTAAATAATATATACAAATACATACCTACATACAATATAAATACATACAAACATTTGTTGTCAATCCTAAGTAGATAAGTAGTGTCTCTTGATTCTATTACGAAAAATGTCAAGGGACGAGCTGGTACGTATGTCATGTGGTAGTGAATTTCATAACTTGACCGCCTTTACAGTAAATGACGCATCATACCTTTTGGTGAAGTGAGTAGGTGTTTTGAGAAGTAGGGATTTCGTAGTCCGGCATTTAGTTCCACTAGGAACCCGATATTCAAACCGCTGACGGAGATAAGAAGGAGCTAAAGGATTAGATAGTAAGAAATAAAGGAAGGATAGTACATGTAAGTCTCGACGTCTACGTATGGGAAGCCACTGTAATTGTGCCCTGTAATCAGAAACATAATCAAACTTACGCAGGCCGAAAAAACGAATCGAATGCACAAATTCTGAAGTCGTTCCAGCTTGTTCAGTAATTCTTCTGTAGCGTCCAAGAAACATACATCAGCATAGTCAATAAGAGGCAGAAGAAGAGCATGAGTTAAAGTGACTTTTGTTTTAATAGGAAGAAAATACTGAAGGCGTTTGAGAGAATGCAGGGTGCCATTCACTTTTTTGCTTACAGAATTAATATGCGATGCCCAAAACATGGGACTATCAAAGATAACACCCAAATTTTTGGCGGTATCTGTATATGGAATCTGGATGTTGTCATATAATACAGCAGGGAGTTTTGATTGATCTAAAGTTTTTAGCACATGTGAGCTGCCAATTATAAGCACTTGTGATTTACTAGGATTGACGAGTAAACCAAAAGACTTAGCCCACAAGTTTATAGCACTCAAATCCTGATTTAGTAGAGAAATAGCACAATTTATATATTCTGACTCAAAGTGGCGATACAGCTGCAAATCATCAGCGTAAAGGTGATAGTGAGAAGTGAGGACAGTAGTAAGAACGTTAATGAAAATAGAAAAGAGAGGAGAGAAAGCGCTTCCCTGGGGAACCCCCACAGCTAGATCGCACCACTCAGAATATTCTTCTTCGTGGCGTACACACTGTGAGCGATCTCTCAGGAAAGAATCAAACCAGGAAATTACATAGCTTGAGATATTTAAAGAAGAAAGAATTCCCAGAAGTATATCATAGTTCACAGAGTTAAATGCGCTGCTGAAGTCCAAAAGTGTTAAAACAGAGAGAAAATTATTGTCCATAGCCCAGCGAATGTCGTCTGACACTTTTATCAGAGCACTGACTGTGCTGTGGCCAGGACGAAAACCAGATTGAAACGGATTCAACAGGCCATGAGAAGATAAGAAAATAGAAAGTTGCTTATGTACTAATTTTTCCAGGATTTTGGACATTACCGGAAGAATCGAGATGGGGCGAAATTGTGACAGGGATGTGGGCGTGGAGATTTTAGGAAGGGGAATAACGAATGCCTTTTTCCAGCAAGAAGGGAAGGAGCTCGTTTTTAGAGAAGAATTGATGAGATAAGTGCTAATAGGAGCCAGTTCGTTGGTGATAGGTCTGATCATTTGAATGGATATCCCATCGTAACCAATTGCCTTTGTGGAAATCGATGTTATACATTTTTTAATGTCATCAGTTATATATATTCTACATTAATTGACTATTTACATTACAGCTTCTTTGATAATGGTAAAACTACAAAGTTAGTTTCCGTATACCTAATTTATTATTACAGTTGGTGTCCTTTGATCAACGGGGTATTACATAATATTAAGTATCGAAAGCGAAACATAAGATGGAGTGAAAAATAGGGGTAAATGAAGTCATAACTGTGAGTTCGAACTATATAACCAAATCAGAAGACTCTGTTCCATTTACAATAATGGAGAGTGACCCTACTGTTGACGGAAATTCCAGATGGAGCCGCGATCGACGGATCGTCATCATCATTTCAGCCTGTTTGAGTCCACTGCTGAACATAGGCCTCCCCCATAAGCTGCCGCGAAGTGCGACCCTGAGCCACATGCATCCATCGACTTCCCGCACGTTTGCACGATCGACGGATGCATAGATATAAGCTTAAATTTAAATTAAATCCTATAACGGCCTGTAACCTACTCCATGTTGATTTAGTTCACACTTTCGCATTGTAATGTTGTTTTAGAGTGAATTAACGTGGCTTTACTAGTAAGTTGCGTCGTTAGACTATACAGGTCCAAGTGAGACTGTGGTCATATCTAATCTACGTCGTATTTGTATATAATATCGTTGGAGAAGTGGACGAACTTCAGAGACGCTTAAATGCGCCACTGAAGATAGTCTGCGCGCCCTTAAATATTATACAATTATTGCAATCACAGATTTTGAAAAGAAACGAGCACCGAAGCGAGGAGGTTTCTACCCGCTCTTCTCTCGACTCCCTTCTCCATCGGTTGGGTAAATTTATACATATTTATTAAAGCACAAATTTTCTGTATTTTACATAAAACAGTTTCTATTTTCGACATCTGCCAGGCGTCGTGCCACAGCACTGTTTTGGAATGGCATGAAAATCAATCTACAGCAAAAAAAAAATCACCATGAGACTACTTAAAAGCGTTTTCACGACTTAAACAAATTTTTTGTACACACAAAATGATGTGATGTCATTGTGCGCTTTTTGTATTCCCCTATTTTTATTAATATACCTCACCAACTCAGACTAAAACTAAGTTTCTTAACTTGTACGTAAGTCCTAAACACGTGATCCCAAATCTTGCAGCTGATGCCGTATGCTGTAAAAAATATAATTCAAATTTAAAATAACAATTATAAAATAAGAATATCGATACTTTCTTATTAAATTAAACAAGAAAGCAAATAAATTTAATTTGTTTTGCCAATTCCAGTAGATGGATAGCAGAGACCCAGAATAATTTTAATTTACTTATTTAATGCCACAGAAAAGAATCAGTCCATTAAAAAATCTTAATAAAGTTATTGCGCGATAATTTTTTAAGCACAGGTTTATAGATGACGCATGTCCATACTTCGTGGCGTTTAAAAATTGTTCCGCTTTACATTATATGACATACATAAGTGAATGTGACAGTTGATATAGAACGAATGATATTAAAAGAGATAGCAGTCTATAGAATTGCAATCTAATTACACCAATTGGTGTTATTCGAGTGCCTCAGTTTCGGTGCTCATATTATATCATTGGAGTAAACGGAATGTATTTTAGATGTGAATAAATAAATCAATGAATGCAGTAACTTCATCACGCACCAAGAAAAGGAAATCTAAAACAAGAACGAAGCTAATTTACAATTAGGCAGTACAATGCCCTACTATTAAAATATTTATTGCTTAATATACTCTAATCTATTACATACCTCTGTCATGATTTACAAAATGGTGGTTCGAGTGGTAACGCTTCATTGCGTAGAGGTAGGTGCCATCTTGCGGCGAGCCGTGGTGGACGTAGTAGTGAATCATATCGTAGGTGAGATAACCTGTAAAGAACAGTAATTGTTTGCCTTATATTAGTTTGTCCGCATCTACATTACCCAAAGATATTATACTCACGAACTTGGTAAGTGTAAGGTCTTTGATATTACCAACTGTAAAATAGAAGCGCCTGCCTGTGATTTAAAACTGACAAGCCTAATCGTAAATGTCAGTTTTTAGGGTTTCGTACCCAAAAGGTAAAACGGTACCCTATTACTAAGACTGCTCTCTGTTTGTCTATCCGTCTGTCACCAGGCTGTATCTCATGAACCGTGATAGTTAGACAGTTGAAATCTTCACAGATGATGTACTTTTGTTGCTGATAGAACAAAAATACTAATAAATAGAATAAAATAATTTAAGTGGGGCTCCCATACACAGAATTGTTTTTTTTGGTATTTTTATAGATAATGGCACGGAACCCTTCATATGCGAGTCCGATTCGCACTCAGACGGCGTTCGCCTGATGTTAAGTAATACATCGCCCATGGAGATTTGTGACATCCTTGGGGTTCACTTGTGTCACCACCGTTTAATGAAGGGCCCACAGTTATCTAACTCACCAGAAGGAAAACGCAGAAGTATAACACTTCCACTTCACACCGGTCTTCTGCGAGGTCATAGTACTTCTCCGGACGGACCTGCCCATTCGTGCAACAGCGGAGACTGTTGCGTGGCCCTACCACAGCCTAAAAATAGTTGTCCTAATTTAGATTGACTACAACCGAAACATATTCTAACTGGAATCATTGTCTTCTCGTTCTTATACGGAAGGAAATAAAATACGTCGTAATCCACTAAGCTTTAGTGGCTCAGTTATATTTTAACTGCGATTTAACATAACTGCCATTGTAATATTTTATTTTCAGAATTTTCATTAAGTAATAATAAATTATCTCTCAGGTTTATACAAATATGACATTTCTAAACGATTGCAAAACTTGCGCGTAACGGGCAGCTGAGCACCTGTGTTGTCTGACGAAAAAATTATCAAGCTTGCGATATGTCTCTTGAAACCAAACGAAATTATTACTCCAATAAAGATAAGATTTCGTAAGCGATTGAGTTGACAAAACATTCCACTGATTTTGATGCTACGTACGTATACGCACTTTTATCGTACTCAAATGGAGAATTATAAAAACGCCGATATGTATAAACGTTTTACGAATCATTTATAAAAAGGAATATTTAATAACCCAATTTAGCAAATTTCTTTCTATTTAGTAAATTTCTCTTACTTTAAACTTAGTGTTTTAGTGCTTCTATGTAGACTTAGTCTTACCTACTAGCCCACCAGCAAACTTTATCAACGGATAAGTCAGGAATAGTCGCAGTATAGAGTAAATTATCGAAGCGAGCACAAAAGCTGGAATTGGCGGGAACACTTGCCGTAGGCTATCGAATGGAACCTGAAATAATAAACGGATATTATTTTGAGTGTTGCAACACTCTTTGATAAACGTAATATACCTCCAGCACGTGTGCATTTACAACATGTTTTTTTAATGATATCATCAGAAACGAAACATTTTTATTGCATTTAATTTTTGTTATCGCCGTCATTGTACTGAATAATCTTTCTTTTTCCATTTATCTATCAATATATATAAAATATAGATAGAAATAATGCCCTTGTGCAGGCATTGCGAATAAAAATACTGGATATATTTTTTTATTTATTTAATCTTCATTCCACTTAAAATTGTATATACTATATATACTCTGTAATGTATATACACATATATATATATATATATATATATATATATATATATATATATATATATAGAGGCGAGCTTAATGCTATACTGCATTATATATCAGCTAACCCTAGGTAAAAAAGATCTATAAAATGCGGGCTTAAGCTATACTAAATCTCTATCAGAACCCTAGGTAAAAATGCATAAATAATGGGTAATAAATTCTATCTTCTTCTTCATATAATAATGGGTAAGAAATACTTACATATACATACATACAAGTTAATACATAAACTCATACATATACAATTATACATACATAATAAAAATACTTAAATTAATTATTATTTTTATAAATGATTACTTTTTAGACTATTTGTCCTTATCTAAAAAATAGGATCGTTATATATTTATTCAGCGTCAGCCCATGGATAGAGCGGTAGGAACGGTCACTCAATAGATTTTATTATTTACTGACTGATTGAAAATTTCAACAAATACCGATTTAATTTTATTAGTAGTAGCGTTGTTAACGTTGAAGATACAGGAGCGTAATAATAATTCAAGCTATTTATTTTTATTTGTATTAAAATCAATGTAACAAATGTGTTATTATTGACACTTCACATAAAGAAAACGTATTCGCGACTTTATGTCAACTTATATCGTCCCAGTCAAGTAGGCTTACCTTATGGTGCATCCCGTGTATAAGGAAATGGATCTTAATCAGTGTGAGAGACGATCCCGGGTCATAGTGGAACACCCATCTGTGCAAGCAGTACTCCAGCGCCGTCCAGATCAGAACCCCGATGGCGAAATGCTGGAAATACTGGAAGCTGGAGAGGCTGTCCGCTGTACAGCTGTCTGCAGGAAATTTAATACCTACATGAAAGGAGGCGTAATGTCAAATAACAACATTAATTTTTCGTGTTGCGTTGTTGTACGAGTTTGTTTAAAAATTACGTCTTAAGTAATTACTGGTCATTGGTGTGTTCGATCCCGACTATTGGAAAACTATTGTGTGATGAACATAGTATTTCTGTTTCTGGGTATTTATTGATGAACATAGTATTTCTGTTTCTGGGTATTTATGTATGCATATTATTATATTTTATTTAGTACAAAAGTAAAAAGTTCATTTGTAAAGGTCACAAAACATATTATGTAAAAGAGAAAAGTACGTTTAGTAAGCATGTTTATCAGTTTTTAGTGCCCAGAATACCACCGTTGCTTAGTTTGGGATTAGAGAACGTTGTGTTAATAAATAAGAATGTTTAGGCACCTAAAAGCTTATTTAATCCGCTTGCAAAGATTGCAAAGATTCCTTTTTATCGATAATGGGGCAAACGTAAATGTTCAAAGCCGCCCATAGACACTCGCAAACAAATGCTTTGCCGGCCTTTGAGGAAATAATAGGCTCTTTTCTTGAATGTACCGGATACAAACGCGAATACCATAACCTGTCTCGGTCTATCCCGTTAAGATGAAAAGAACAGATTCTTTTCAACAATCACGGTCCACTTACCACCGCACGCGACGTGCTCCAAGAACTGAGTCGTCGCCAGGTACGCGATGATGGGGATCCAGAGCGTGGGGACCAGGTACCAGGGAGTATACGTCAGCCCCTCCAACAGCGAGCTGGAGAAGAGCCGGCATTTCCTATACACCGCGCTGTTCACCCACTTTTCGTAGTCCGACGCTACAGCGCCAAGCTGGCAGAGCAGTGGCTTGGACCAGTCCAGTCTACCCTGGAAAAAGTTATTAATGATTTTTTGGCTCCTTGACGCTGTCTCCAAGTCACTGACATCGTCTGATTCGTGTGACTTGTTCGACTTCCACAATGGAAGTTTTCTAAACGACTGCAACAAGTCATAGCCAAAACCGCTTAAGTAGTAATAGTAATAAGTAGACAAGAAAGACTCCAATATGTGAGTTAAAACAACAAATTTGTCCACAAAATCTAAAAAAAAATAAAATAATTAATTCGAAACATTGTAGGAGCTTCATAATTAAAGACCTTACAATTACAAAGGTGATTATCGCAAAAGTTATATTCAAGAAATTTTAAGGTCAAATGGTCTATAACGTTTTTATTGACAATTAAAACTTATTTATTAATATTTCATACGGAATATAATCATAGGGAAATAACCATTCTTTTGTGGAAAAGTGTATAACGATAACTTTGTTTTTTATTTAAAATAATTGTGACTGAATTAATTTAAACAGCGGTTAAAAGTAATGCACAACTTGTGCTAATTCTAGTTTAGAATATCTACAACTAATTTTTCCAAATCTGGGTGCTGTCCAGTGTCCTTGTGTTATTTCGGTGTGTAAATTATAATATGTGTATATTGTGTGAAATATAATAACTACTTATGACAACCGTTCTCAGCGTTCCGTACCCAAAGGGTAAAACGGGACCCTTTGGCCTTCTGTTAACAGAGTGTACCTCATGACCCGTCAGAGTAGACTTTTTAAATTTTCATAGATATAACAACAAATACTAAAAACCCGAATAAAAAAAATAAATAAATTTTTAGGACACATTTGTACACAACATTTTCTAGTCCCAAACTAAGCAAACCTTGTACTATGGGTACTAGAAAACTGATAAACATACTTAAACATACTTTTCTTTTACATTTAATAAATACATATTATACATATAGAAACACCCAGACACTAGAAAAACACCATGTTCATCACACAATATTTTTCCAGTAGTGGGGATTGAACCCACACCCTCTGGCGCAGGAGGCAGGTACTCTACCAACTACGCCATTCGGGTCGTCAATAAAAAATATTTAAGTGGTGCTCCCATACAACAGACACGGCCATTTCCCTTTTCAAAGAATTATATGAAACGCACTTGGCCGGTTTTTTATTGTTATTTTTTTATTTATTTATATTTCACTATCATCTTATGAATTTAAGTTAGTTATGAGAACCAAATATATATATAACTAAATACAGATGTGTCCAAAATTGTACTAGGTACAAAGTTTGACATGGTACAGAAAAAATTAAGGTATCAATATCTTTGAAACACAAAAAAGATATTTACCAGTAAACATCTATACTAGATTAAAATACAAACAGAAACAAAAAGTAATAATAAAATACGTAAATAAGGCCTAAAACATACATCTTATAATGCTAACCTGATATATTAACAGCATACTACTTGTATTACTTACTCTCGTACTTACCTACATTACGTTACTTTTAAATAGCTGTAGAGCATAACTAAAATCATTTATGAAACTGGCAGTTTTTCTTTATAAATTTCGTAATATATCGAATATTCTAGTAAATTGCTCCAATTTTCCTAATATTCCTTTTATGTCAGGGATTATGTAGTATATAGATAATCTTTAAAGGTCGTTGGGCCACGCAGCAGCCTCGGCTTTTGCACGAATGGGCAGGCTCGTCCGGGTAAGTACCACGAACTTACAGAAGACCGGTGTCAAGTGGAAGTATGATACTTTCGCATTTCGTCTGGTGTGTGAGGTAGCCGGAGCCCAATTTTCAAAAGGCTGTCAACGCATGTGCAACCCTCGGGTGAAGCAGATGTCCATGGGTGGCGGTATTCACTTAACATAGGTGAAGCGCCTGCTCGCTTGACAACTTTTCACATAAAAAAAATAATGTTGCCCTACAATGGAGGCAAAAAATCGGACTGTTCAAAATCACTTAAGTCAATTAAGACAATTTCATCATTTAAGACTCATTTAACTTGATGTAAAATTAATAGCTTTAGGTGACCACACGAACGTTGTAGTCAACTCAAAAGGCAATTAATCTAAGACAACTGTTGCGAGTCATCATATTTCTTGAAAATCCTTGCACTTCTATCCTTGTGCTTCGCACATTGCTAAAAAACTTTAAAGGGATCGATTTAGCTTCTTGCCGGAATTTTTTTATGTATCGTTAGAAATCGTTGTAAATTTCTATGGAGGACATTAAAATTATCATTAATTTTATTATTAGCGCTAGCCTCTGCAAATGAGATGAAACGTCAGTTAGTCTCGCTAAAACACGAGAACGATTTGGCTAATTTTGGTTTTGAAATGTTTGTGGCAGTCCAGGGAAGGTTTTTTACCTTCCCTGACTGATGAGAAATTATGGTAAAATTGCATAGATAGTCTAAATAGCAACAATTTTATTTACCCATACAAACTGTACCCACCTAAGATTGAACATTAAAATATGTAGAAAAATTGCGAAAAGACTGTCGCCGCTCCGTCGCGGAAATCGAACCCACGTCTTCGGCATTCGCGGCCTGACGCTCTAGCCACTGCAAATATCTGTCTTAAGTGCAAAGATTAGCACTATAAACAATTTAAATTTCTAAAAAAGCCGGACTTGATGTGGCAGGCGCTCGGGGCGCCTAGCCTGAACTTCGGTCGGCGTCACCGAGTTGTATTTATGTATAATAATAGCGTTGTATACTACATTGCTTAAAAAAAAATCATTCGAAAGGAGATTCTCGATTCGACTGTAATTTTTTTTGTTTGTTACGACAGAACTTTCGACTGAGTGGGCAGATTTTGATGATTCTTTTTTTTTTTGAAAGCTGGTGCTTCCCGTGTGGTCCCATATTAATTTCATTGGTATTGGATCTTGGGCTTCGGAGATACTTAGGGAACTTCTAAAAATCAATTATAGAATGCTTTTCTTTAATAAAAATAGACTTGTTAAATTATGCGATGCATTTATTCTCCACGCTCTACACAGTAAAACTGTGGAGTTGGTAGAACCAAGATGCATTCGCGAAGGAAGAGGAGTTGATGTGCTGAGGTTTTTGTTGAAGCGAAGATAACGAGTGTGTAAACGAAGATGACATTAATAAACCAACCAATTAATCAAAAGTCTTAATGGTAAATAATGAAGAAACTTGGATCTGGGAGTCGAGGGACGATAAATGAATAGTCAAGTAAAGTCAAAGTCATTAAAAAAATCTCATTGATGTTTAATAATGAGTTTGAATAAAGATAGTTTTTAATAGAATATTAAAATTATTCTATCTTCCCGATCGCGTGGCATACTATGTCCTAATACTAACCTATACCTTTGCCCAGCAGTTGAGCATAATTAGATATAAAGCTGTAAATTTAGGGTCAAAAACCCAAATAACTCAAATTTTAATAATTCATAACCGAATATCGTCCATAACACGTATTAAGATATCAACAAAGATGTACCTCATCAGTATTACGAATGAATATAATAGTGTATTTAATGTTTTAATTAGGAAATTCATATATGTCCTTCATCGTTTTTAAAAATATACGTATGAACATATCTGTCAATTCACATTTTTCGTCAAAAACCTTCGATAGGAAGTTTAAAAAAGTACCGTATCCGGCAGCGCTAAATGATTTTCTAACCAGGCGCAGAATTTCGCTCCTAATATCTAACAAATTATCGTCGGCTACGTCTATACCAAGGTCGGTTCAATGGCAAAAGTAACTCTTGATTTAGTAAACAGCGCTAGAAAAGTAGGGTTACTCTCGTGGTTACTCTACCAATATTCCTTTTAAAAAAATATTTTACCCAACGTTCTCTTGTCCCAAACTAAGCAACGCTTGTTACTATGGGTACTAGATAACTGATAAACATACTTAAACATACTATTCTTTTGTAAATAAATACATATTATACATATATAAACACCCAGACACTGGAAAAACGCTATGTTCATCACACAATATTTTTTCAGTTGCGGGGATCGAACTCATACCCAGGAGCAACGCAGGAGACAGTTACACTACCCACTCGGGTTAAATTTAGTGTAGTTTTTTTTAATGATGAAGATGTAATCTTGAAACTTCAAAACCCAATCTGATAATATTTTCCTTGAATCTTGAGTACAGTTGCCTATATTTTCTATGGTCTATGTTGTTATATCGCGATATTTGTGTGAAGCCGGAGTGACAAGATAGTATTAACTACAGATTGAAGGTTTTATTTGCAATTCATTTTAATACTTATTTATTAAACATTATGGCAATGGTGCCTTTGACGTTGGCTACAAATGCGCGGTCTAAGTTCAGATCATAGTTGCTTGCACTACTGAACCCTATTTATTTAGTGCCCAGCACAATAAAAAGACGGGCACAATGTAGCACGCTTTAGGATGCAATTGAACATCACTAGCTATTCTGTCAAACAGGAAAAAGAGATATGTCCAACAAGAAAATGAGATATGAAAGAAATGCTACCAAAGTAATATTCACTCTCAGTTGAGCACTGAGTTACAATAAGATGACTCGGTGGCATAGTTTCTAAGTTATTGGTTCAGTTGCGTCGTGGGTTCGATTCCCACACGAGACAAGTATTTGTGACCTAAGGACAATTGTTACGGACGTGACGTTAGACAGGCGACCGGGCGTAAAAACGTAGCCAATAACATTAATAGCATGATTCACATGTTCTTCCGATCCTATCAAGGATAAGGGCAGGAGAAAAAGGAACTGAATTGCGATAAAGATGTCCTGGACGAATGGGCAACCAGATTGATCGTTATACTATGGTAGGACCGAATGAATAGTAACCATAGTATGTATTTATATTTTCAAGACTGGACATATTTTTACACAACGATATCTCATCCCAAACTGATAAACAAACTTTAACATACTTTTCTTTTTTCGATAATAACATACTATAGATATAAAAACACCCAGACACTAGAAATACAATACAACACTATGTTCATCACACAATATTCATCCAGTAGAAC